GTCAAGAATCTACTGGTGAAGTTTGTAGCACGAGTAGCAAGTCACTCTCAAACATTAGCAATCCTTGAACCACCATTTTTTCTCTTTTTGTCATCAACATCTTGGTCTCACAACCACTAAATAAGAAAATGACGAGTGCGTTGGAAGCGTTATTAAATCAGGTAGTTTTCCTCAAATTTGCTGCCTTCTGAGACTAAAATTAGAAACTCTGGATTACTTTATACACTTTCCGATTTACACAATTTTCCACTCTTTTTGTAGTTCTGGCTGAAATAAAACACAAAAAATTAGCCCAAACATTTTGCCACCGTCATCTTCTTATTGAAAAATTAACGGGAATTTCAACGGTGCTATTAGATTTTCAGAGAAATGTTTAGATTAAAAGATATCACGATTTTCCGACGCCAGGACGTGATATCTTTCAAAATCGATAAAAAGCGAAATTACTCTGAAATGGTTGAGAATCGGACCATGGACAATATGAACTTTTTTGTTCATTTTAGGGTGAAGAATCTACTGGAGAAGTTTGTAGCACGAGTAGCAATTCACCCTGTATATAGGCCATACACGTTTCGCAGGATTGCTCAGTGTCTGAGGTTCCGATTCCGATTACTCAGTGTCTCGGGATGAAAAAAGTACACCGTAATTTAAAAGACAATAATAAAGCCTAATGGCGTGTAAGAATGTATTTTAGTGAATAATGTACAATAAATAACAGTTGTGTTCCTTTCTAACGCCAACGTCAAATTACTACGTTTAACGACTTTTTTGCATAATTTTTCATTGTTAGTGAAAGGCCGCCGAGATAAATAGCACTGATAAACATGTCACAATTTTCAATAGTTATTACAGTCACGATGAAAAAGGCGAAATGCAGAAATGCGTCTGAGAGACCAGCAGATCGTGGATAGCCAAACCAAAATGGTCGACAACGAGCAACAAGTCATCACCTCGCAGACCCCAAGTAAAGTTTCTTTAAGGTTTCTTCTTGGGAGTGGACCTCTAGTATAGTCATCTTTGATCATCTCGACCTCCTCGTGGCTTTGGTATGTCAGACATGTTTCGGAATTTTGTCATCTTGTACGCTGGGTTTGAAGACCAATTTATCAGTTGTCCTATTTTTACAGTTGAGAGGTTTGTTCTTAGGGTTTGCAAAGTGATGGGCCGTTGGAAGTCATCCAAATCTTTCTATTCGCGCTGTTTTGGTCAGTCAGATGCGATGACGTAGTTTTGCCATTTCAGTAGGGTGATGCTATCCTTTTTTGGCAGTCTTGTGTTTTGTTACAATTATGAGATGAACCTGTAGTTTTGCCGTTGGGGTCATCCCAGACTTTGTACTAACGCTGTTTTGCTGCGTCAGATTTTCGTTTCAGTGTTTCGCCATCTTCTGCTTTGGATTTGGGCACCATTTCGTCTGTCGTCGTCTTTTGAAACACTTTTGAGATTTCTTCTTGGGGTTTGCAAAGTGATGGGCAGTTGAGGTCATCCAAATCTTTCTATCCACGCTATTTTGGTCCATCAGATGCAATTCAGAGTTTTATCATCTTCAATAGTGTGATGCTGTCCTTTTTTGCCAATCTTGGGTTTTGTTACAATTATGAGATGAAGCTGTAATTTGGCCGTTTGAGGTCATCCCCGACTTTCTACTCACGCTGTTTTGATGCGTCAGATTTTCGTTTCAGTGTTTCGCCATCTTCTGCTTTGGATTTGGGCACCATTTCGTCTGTCGTCGTCTTTTGAAACACTTTTGAGATTTCTTCTTGGGGTTTGCAAAGTGATGGGCAGTTGAGGTCATCCAAATCTTTCTATCCACGCTATTTTGGTCCATCAGATGCAATTCAGAGTTTTATCATCTTCAATAGTGTGATGCTGTCCTTTTTTGCCAATCTTGGGTTTTGTTACAATTATGAGATGAAGCTGTAATTTGGCCGTTTGAGGTCATCCCCGACTTTCTACTCACGCTGTTTTGATGCGTCAGATTTTCGTTTCAGTGTTTCGCCATCTTCTGCTTTGGATTTGGGCACCATTTCGTCTGTCGTCGTCTTTTGAAACACTTTTGAGATTTCTTCTTGGGGTCTGCAAGAACCTGTATGTTGACCGTTTCACATCATCCTGATCTATTTATACTTGATATTTTGGCTAACAGACGCAGTTTAGACATTTTACCACATTCACTAATTGGTTACTGTGCTTTTTTTACCAGTCTTGTCTCTTTTTGCACAAGTATAAGATAGGCAACGACCAAATCAGAGAAATTGTGTTGAAGACAATAACGAACTTTCCAGAAAGATATTTTGTAATATTACATTATATTTCCATGTTGCCAACTTTTTTGAACAATTTCGAGTTATTGGAGCTAGTGATTATAGCTTCTTGTCTCTAGACACTTTTTATATTTGAAAAGTGAATGTCGAGTGCGAAACTTATTAGAATACAATATTTAATTTTGCGCAAATTATGAGTGCAAATATACAAGACAAGAACAAAATGAACAAAGAAGACTCAAAAAGTTCTATTATTACTATCATGTGGGTTGGCTCGATTGAAGGCAAATGTCACACGTCTGCTAGTCAAGATAAAACATGTATTTAAAGAAAAAAAAATCCAACCGTAATATTTAATGATCTGTACATCCTTTGTTGCTGATTTTATTTTTATTTTGCCACGGTCTTTAATCAGAAAATTGTTCTTTCAAAGCCGTCCAACTTTTTTCTTCAGCCTTCATTGCGCAAACGGAGTTCAACGACTTATTTCTGTCGTAAGCGAATTTGTGCTAATCTAAATGCAAAACTACAGTTTTAAAAAAATTACGTCACCTTACATAGCACACTATTAAAACATCAATTTTTACCATATTCTAAAAAAGTAATGTCTATTTTTAATTTAAGCCACTTTCCAAGCCTAATAGGCAAGCCAACTGAATTGCAAAGTTAAAGAAAAAATTGAAAATTTGGTCGTTCTGATCATTTTGGTCTGCCTATCGTCGCTGATTTGGTCTGTCAGATGTTTAGTCGGTTGGATCCAAAGAGAAAAACAATTGAATCACTGAATGAATGCAAAAACTGTAATATTTACAATATAAACCAAATACAATATAAAGAAGAAAAACAACATTAAATAGACAAGGATCGAAAAATCCGTCTGCCTTAGGTCTTATTACTTCAGTAATAAAATAAAAAATTCAATTATTCTGTCAGTTCGTATCTGTAGCACCAAGCCTGCCTCACAAACCCAATCAAAGGCCTAGATCTTGAACCCTCCAAATAACCCGGAAGAGTTCACTCCTACACAGAGTGGAGCGACCTAGGTGAAGCAAGCTGATCTCTCCCAGAATTGAACACTGCCAAGAAATGAAAAACAGATTCGAGGACGTGTGAATTGCAAAGCGAGCAGAAGCCCTGCTCACCCCTTTCCACGTGGTCGAGTTCAGCTGAAGCATTTTAAAAAGCCAACGCAGCTCTACCAAAGAGTAACCTTTAAATTGGATTTCTTCAGATTGAACAACCTTTAACTTTTTATATAATGAAAAGTGCGCCGAGCTCTTGGCACTATCAGGACATTGACTGCGGTATTGGGCATTAATCAGAATCAAGAGAGCCAAAAAATGAGTACTCCAGTTAATGATACTTGCCAATGACAGGGAGAAGCCCATGTCATATTTCGCCAGGCAGAGAAGCAAGAAATATCCGAACTATTTCAAAGGTAATTTTTGAGAGTCTCGAGTCTGGAGAACCTAGCGTCTCCAGGATAAAGGAAAAATGCAACTGTGAGGTAATTTGGTGTGCGACCTGGTAGAGTAAAAAGTTTTCTTATGAAAAATTACTGTACGTTTTCCACAAGCGCCTGACAAGCGTTTTAAATCAGTAGACAGTTTGATGAATCTCTGACAAGATCCTTGCCACGATTAACTGTCCGGTGTGAGATCAGTTACACTGCGTGGACAGCACTAAGCGAGTCCTACGTGCGAGAATTACTGAACTACGGGCGCAAGCACTTTCCAAGCCTAACTGCTTGCTATTGAGGGCGGACTCGTAATGGTACGTGGTGAGACTCCTTGAGAGTAGCCCAGGGGGTATATCTTACCCTCTGGAAGGTGGTTAGTATTCCACTTAAATAAAACACCGGTGCCGGCCCGTCCGTCGGAAGTACCACGCTAGGGGTGCGCCTCCACTCGGGGTAGCCACAGAGCTGCTTCTCTATCGAGCGGGAGTAACTTCGGCTGCGACTCTAGTCGGGCGGCCTGCCGACCCAGCACTACAGAAGGGCCAAGCGGAGAAGAGGCTTTTTCAAGGTTGAAAATCTACGGTATTGCACATCCCACCGCAGACGGAAGCGTGTCGTCTCCCTTCTTGAGAAAAGATACCGTGCTCGCACGAGGGACACCGATATGGCTAGGCGCGGTCTTAAAAGATCCTCACGTCCTTTTCAGAATGTCGAGCAAGATTGCGAAAGAATCTACCTTTCCCATAGCTTCGAATCTCTGAAAGCTTCACATCTGACACCCATAGCAAAGAATTCCTCGGGACCCAGAGTTAAATATATAAACTTTACATCGATTAGGATCGTGCTAAGGGTCATAATAGACGACCAGGTTTGATTCAATGCTAATTTAGCCGTCGACGACTTCGAGGAGACAAGTCTCGACCAAGAAAACCAGGGAGTTAATAAATTGCCTAAGTATTTATAGTCATTCACCACCTGTATAGTCTCATCTTTTTTAGAAGAAACGATCCAAAGAATTTAATCTACCATCCTTCCTGAACACAACTTCGGATTTATGTAGAGATACAAACAATTATTTATTATACGTTTATAAAAAGCTATGGGCTTATTCGCGTTAGATGGTAAAGTTTGTATGTTTGTCGATCAAATTAGTCTGTGTGACCCTTCATTGATGACACACCGAGATTACAGGTCCATCACCCCACAGATCTCTCAATATAAGTGTATCTAATCTGTATTGTATCTAATCGATTAATATTGCATTTTCTTCTGTCCAGGTACGGTGAGAAGCAAAGAAGGACGGACTCGGCGGAACTGAGCGGAATCCAGCTACTCTCCGCGACCGCCAACCATCTCAAGAAGCCATACCAACAGCTGCTGATTCCGATCACCGTCTGGATCGGGATGGAGCAGGCCTTCATCGGCGCTGATTTTACACAGGTGAATTGTATAAAACAATTTCCAGAACAATTTGTCCCCCTGGCCCGCTCCCGAGGTAATTGCCTGTCGTCAGATGTAATTGTGATAAATTAACCCCCCCTTCCAATATACAATGGGTTCTCACCGTGATAACGGAAATTAAACTTTCCCACAAACGTACTTTTCAATTGGAAGGCTCAATGCCTTTAACAGGAGATTTGAACCGTCAAATAATATTCTATAATAAATATCAAAAAAACTACATTAAGCTCTCTGAATTAAATTCTCGCTTTCAAATTGCAACGGTGAACTTAAAAAATTGACCTCTTTTTAGCTTTGAAAAGAAGACTCGTGTTCAAAGTGTTGATCAATTATGTTCAAAACGTGACTTCGTACAATGAAGGAGTCTATTTGGCAAAATCAAGAAAGCTTCACCTTGACTGTACGACTTTCCCATATATTCATAACATCGTTAGGGATTTCCTAACGTTTAAAAAATATGAACAATAGACTAGGAAAAAGACTAAAGGGTTGGAAAAATATATTGAATTGCGAAGCAGCTGTCTGTGATATCTCAATCAATTCGTCTCAAATGATCTACCAAAGAAATCAATTAACACTATTTTTTATTTTACTTAATCGAACCTAGCAGTAATAATAGTAATTAATTATTAATAGAATTTTTTTACTAAAATACATTAACAGTCTATTGTTGAATAAAAATTAACTGCACTCTATGGAACATTAATTACTAGTGCCATTCGATTATAAGCTTAAAATATGAGCAATCAAACTCATCAGGAAAGTACATTTCGGTCTTTCAAGCTGAAATACATGTCACCTATTATGTCTGGGAAGAATGGGCCAAAGGAACACCACTAAAGGCAAATTCCTACTGGTATACTGACGGCTCTAAAACCGACAAGGGTTCGTGAGCTGGGGTCTTTGCGATGAACCGAACTGACGTAAACCTAGGCAAGTACGCTACAGTTTTCCAGGCTGAAATCATAGCGATTGAACCGTGTGTCTGAGAAATAAAAAGGCTAGGAATACATTCCCGGAAGATAGCCATTTTCCCTGACAGTCAGGCAGCTCTCAGGGCCTTAGCCACGTGCGAGGCGAAGGCAAAGAGATGTTTGAAACTGCATGGAGGCTGTGACGGAATTCAGTGGCACTAATGACCTGACCATGGGTGTCAGACATTCGGGACATAGAGGAAACGAAAAGGTTGACATGTTGGCCAAAAAGGGACCCAACATGGACTCTATGGACCCACAAGCCTAGCAGCCTGCCAAAAAGAGGATACATCTTAGAATGGATCCTTAATAAGACCAACCTGGTGGAACAATACCACAGGCATGTGGCACGCGGAGATTCCAAGGACCATTCGCAAAATTTACAAAAGAATTATTGGAAGGCAACCGCAACCGAACCAGGATTCTGGTTGGACTCCTGACAGGGCACTGCAACATAAGGAGGCACTGCAAAAGTTTGACATGTTGGCCACAAAGGGAGTCTCTCTGGATCCCGAAACCTACTGCGGTTTAGCATCCGCCACAAAAGAGCATACATCTTAAAATCGATCCTTAATGAATCCAAAACATGGTGGAACAATTCCGCAGGTATGAGGCACGCGAAGAGATTCAAAGAAGGACCATTCGCCAAACTTACAAAAGAATTACTGAAAGGCAACCGCAGCCGAACCAGGATTCTGGTTGGACTCCTGACAGGGTACTGCAAGTTAAGAAAGCACATGCACCGGATAGGAGTACAGATAGAAGAAACACTGTGCAGATACTTCCAGGAAGAGGAGGAGACCGCAGAAGACATTTTCTGTTTCTGTGAAGGTCTATGTAGGTGCAGGTTCTTGCAACTAAGACAAGAAAAATCACAAGCAAGATCCTACACCAAGGAACCGATGGAAAAGCTGTGTAGTCTGAAGCTGGCCAATAAAAATAAATAACCGAGGAGCACAATAGATCTATTCAGAGGTGCAGTAGACCTTGTCGCCGCCTCTTTTATCCCTGTCCCTATTTTGCCTTAGAAAATCTTAAAAGACCTTATACTGACAAAAAAAGTCTTCATAAGAGCTGAGTTTGGGCAGCTGTTAAGATGTAAAAAATCACATCAAAATTAGTTAGATAATAACAAAAACCTCCAAAACTTGGGGCAACAGAACAACTTGATAATACAATATATTGTGTCCCAAGAAATAAGAGAATTTTGGGTAATGAAAAAGTAGATGCACTGGCCAGAGAAGGATCTGTAAGACCAAATATAAGCCCTGAACTTGGAATAACAAAAAACAGACACAGAATCCTCCATCACAGAATGGATTCAAAAAATACAAAATGAGAATTGGATAAACTCTAGAGGTTCTTAGCACAAATAAGCTTGTCTTAAAACTACCCTAACCAACACTAGCATCTGGCAAAACATGTACATTACATGGGTTTATTTAGTGATGACCACATTAGTAGATTATACAATGAGGAGGAAAAACAGCCAATCCATATCATCTTCGAATGTGAAGTGTCTGATAATGGTGGCAACCTGGGAAAGGAACTGTAGCAAAGTCAATGACCTAGCACTCCTTAGGAGAAAGATAGAGTTTGCACTGAACTAGAGAACTAGGAAAGTACTAAGTCTGCATGCAGTATCCATTCAATACGTGTTATTTGCAAGATTTTTCTAACAAAAAGAAAACCTAAATAAGAGTTGTTTTTTTAAACGCGTGCCCGCTAATGGTCTTTTCTATGAAGGTAATCTACCAGGAATTTTGCAAATTGTCTTTGACTGATAAGCCGGAAATTGCTTGAAAACAAACAAAAAACACGCGGCAAAGGAAATTATTTAAATTTTAAGTCATTAAAATAGATCCTTGAAGAATGTGACTTGGTTCAAGTTAATTACCCCTTCTCGCTTATACGTTCGTACCGCGATAATAATCTAATTTAACAATTAACGAAATTCTCGGTTGATAAATGAACTGGCTTATTAGATAAGAGTCATTTTTGAAACAAAGACGGCTTTGTACAATTTAAAAAAAAAACCTTGAGCCAACAATGTCGGCAACAGGTTAACAGAATCAAGTTTTATCTGGAGTGTTTAAGTAAACAAATCAATTTAAAAAATTTGAGCATAATATTTAACAATAATTCACATCAAAGTGTGGCCTGCCTGCAGATTAAAACTTCTAAGGCACTTTCATAAAAAGTTGAAATAATATGCTTAATTTTAGTGAATGCATTTATTAGCGTGAAAGTTATAGTTTGTGTTGGAATATCGAGTACCCAACAAACACACCAATCTGGGTTATTTAGTTTTATATATGTGCGCATTAAGATAGGGGTAATCACTGGCCTAATATCAAAAACCCTGTGTGTATTTATTTGCGTGAGTTGTTAAGAGTATATACGGTCTGTACGGAATATCGAATATCTGTCGAACCAATTAGGTTAACTTAGGATAGCAAATGCGTGATTTTTATTGTGTGTGAATGTATTTATTAGCGTGAGAGTTGTAGTTTGGGTGTGTTTGTGTTGAAACATCGAGTACCCAGCAAACACACCAATCTGGGTTATTTAGTTTTATATATGTGGGCATTAAGATAGGGGTAATCACTGGCCTAATATCAAAAACCCTGTGTGTATTTATTTGCGTGAGTTGTTAAGAGTATATACGGTCTGTACGGAATATCAAATATCTGTCGAACCAATTAGATTAACTTAGCATAGTGAATGCCTGATTTTTATTGTGTGTGAATGAATTTATTAGCGTGAATGAACAAAAGTTGAACTTTAGTGGGGGGGATTTCAGCAGTATAATGAAAACTCTTGAAACCCGCCAATCTTAACTTGGATAATCTTTTAAATATAATAAACGTGTATTTTAATTGACTTAGGGTATTTTAATCATGTGTGGAAGGGTTAAACATTAAAAATTCGGTAATAAAACAAATTTGAGACAAAACGTCAGGAGGTAGCAATAGCCCTAGTGGCTACCCGGCCGGGAAAAAATTCTCTTTATTAGCTTTTGACTACATATTTATGAAAGTCATTATTTCCACATATTTAAGTCTGATCGGTATTTATGAAGGCAGTTTTCTATTTCCATTAGTTGTCGTTAATGTTTTCACTTATTGCCGGATTTGATCGAAGAATCGAACCCTTCATATTCATCCTCAAGGGATTCCCGGAAGATTTACGAAAGAGATGAAGCTTTGACTTTTTACAATGGGATTTATTCTGACAGGCGAGGGGAGGACCCATAAACCTCCCGGGTTCTCGTATTTTCTCCACGGATTTGTTTATAGTGCAGGAATCTGACCGGTAACATCTTCCTCCGTTCGGCCTTGTCCCAGTGTGGTTTTTATCGCCTCGGGACAACCTATATTATTTTTTATCCGACACATTTTATTCCAGGACTCCGACCTTTGTCAACGTTCGACAAGTTCCGAGTCTGCCGGCTTGGTTCGAATGTTGAACTTTTAAACGGATGAATGAAATGATTTTTTTTTTTTTTTCAGGCGTATGTCTCTTGCGCTCTGGGAGTTCCAAACGTCGGTTACGTTATGATATGCTTCGGTGTGGTGAACGCCATATGCTCCTTGGTCTTCGGGACTCTCATGAAGTACATCGGAAGATTCCCGATCATGGCGCTGGGTGCCTTGGTCCACGCTGGTCTCGTCATCATTCTGCTCTACTGGAGGCCACACCCGGCATCGCCGCTCGTCTTCTTCGCCATCTCGGGACTCTGGGGTGTCGGCGACGCCGTCTGGCAGACTCAAGTCAACGGTGAGCAAACTATTAAACATTTATCGACAAATCACCCTGGTCTACTCTCGCTATTTTATCAGTTAAACGCCATCTGTTTTATAAACTTATAACATAAAAAGAAGTTCCATTTTACGCAGAAATATCCTCCCCCGTACATCAACATCAAGGAGCTTGATTAGACAATGGAATGATTTTTAATTCACACCTATGGCTTAAGATATAGTAAAAGCTAAGCAGAAGATTTGGCCAACTACGAGGATTTTGATCTGCCTATCCTGTTTTGGTCTGTCAGATGCGATTCGGCATTATGCCATCTTCAGCGGTGGGTTTGTGCAGTCTCACACACTTTTCCGTCTTAACCCGCGACCCAATTGTGACTCAGGGCCGGTTCAGCTTGAGTTCACCTACTCGCAGAACAACATCCAGTATCAACCCTAAAATAGTTTTGCTTAGCACTGATAGTTCGTTATAGCTGAACCGGCACTTGGTCACTTATTTGGCCCGTCTTCACCCGAGATCCAATTTTAGTTTCTCCTTTTCCTATCATTTTGATCTGCCTATTTACCTATTTTAATCCGTCGGATTCGTTTTGAAATCATCAATTCAAACTTAAAGCCAAAGGGTCATAGACCCCGCAGACTTACAGAATTTATTAGTTTTCAACAAATCATTGATATAAATTAGAAATAGCGTGGGCCCTAAGAAATAACCCTGTGGGACACATCAATTCCACTGTTATAACTGGCTGAGATGTCTATATTCTGTGGTAAACCATGTTTATCATATTATACATTAAGCCACAAATGCTTTACTTATGTCAAGAAACATGACACCAGTAAGCTTTTTACTACTGAAATTCCATGTAGTGCGGTCGACCAGACTGCATAGTTGGGCATGAGTCGAAAGAAAGACCTGAAGCCGAACTGTTCACCAAGCAGTATCCCCTGGAGGTTCCTAATTCTGCGGATTTCTTTTTTCCTTTTCGAATATTTTATTTACGGCACTAACTAAACTGATGGTAGTTAATGGGGCCCACAAGGTTCTTACGAGCTTTAGTAACATGATGGTTTTAGAAGTCTTTCACGTACCAAGAAAATATGCTTTAGGTACTGTTTAAATTCCGGGAGAACAGTGGTTTTTTGGTTTTACAATTTAACCATTAAATTTGGGATTAATTTTCCCTTTCGTAGGTGGACTGGGTAAACCGTATGAATTAGTTACGTGATTACTTGTTCATTGTTTTCAGACATTTTCTCCGCTGTTTAAAGATTTTCCGAATAAACTTTCTTTCAATAGAAACAGAGTCAATATCTAATACCAAAAAATTGCAGGGATCAGTTAAATGATCCGGTATAGCGGAAGATTCGTGTAAATGTGAAGAATTATACAAGTTCCCACTCATCAAAATCGATCGAATTGAAAAAATGCCTAGCTAACGTGTGTGGTGATTAGTGGCCGTTAATCGATAATTATTCAAAATCGTGAGATGCGGTCTGGTGTGATGTAGGTTTCAGAAAAACATTTTCTTTATCGTGCCAACGTTTCGAACTTTATTGAGATCATCTTCAGGGCCTGGGATTTACAAACATTGTTTACATTTAGGATGTGGAAAAGTGAATTTATACAATGCAAAATATATGTTTTATATTCAATCGAAGTATTTCTACTCACTCAAAATGTTTGTCTTTATGTACGTTGCTGTTTTATGTTTATATACGTTGGATTTTGAAGGGGTGGGGAAGGAAGTCGGTATATAAAAGACAATTTTGTGTAAGGCGTCGACTTCTTTGAGGTGAAAAGAGCCGACAAAGGGAAACAATGTAATTCGGCCAGATTATCCTTTCAGGATTATATAGAAAGGAAAAAATTATACCATATGAAAAATATTTGATGTGTGGAATGTAATGTAATGATATATGTATGTTATCTATATTGAACTTGATTAATGATATTGTCGTAGCTGCGTCTGAGTTTACACGTATCTGTTCTGTAATTGATGCTGTTTATCTCTGTTGATGTAAACCATTTCTAAGAAATTACGTTTATGTTTTGTTCTGTATGTAATATTTTTGGATTTTTGAAGTCGAAATTGTGTTGGTGTTCAAAATGGTGGGTAGCGAGTGCTGTAGGATTTTACTTGGGTTTTTTGCAATCATAAATATGTTGCTTTACTCTCTTGTCCAGATATTGGGATGTAAGACCGATGTAAGTTGCCGGACAGTTTAAACAGTTGATCTTGTAGATTACTTCAGATTTATTTGTTGGTGTGGGATCTTTAATTTTGGAAAAAAGTGTTTGGATTGTTTTATAATTTTTGAAAGCTATTTTGAAGTTATCGGACGAGAGAAATGTGTTTAATTTATGTGATAGGCCTTGAATAAATGGCATGGAAATGTATGCTGGTTTGTTTGTCTTTGATAGACTTAATGTAGTATTATTAGTAGTATGTATCAACAACTACAACTCACTACTAACACCATCCACTATTACTAATAGGTTGGTTTTTTGAAAGAGTTATATAGAATAAGTTGCTTTTGACTCTTCCTGGCCATGGTACACCAGTAAAATGGCACACCGACTCCTTCCTGGTATCCTTTGTCTGAAGCCCGAATCCATTCCATTCCAATTACAATACGGAAAATATAAGATATTTTGTGAGGTAAAAGTCAAGGACTTGCTGTGTGTGATGTGCTTCTTATGGATAACTAATTACAAATATCGATTTTTCATGAGTACTTCATGATCTACTATGACTTTTTAATATTTTTTACAATATTTTAGAACGTTACCTTTTGTTTCTATGAATCTGCGCTATTGCCATTTTTGTTTAGGCATCAGTAAAGTAAAATAAAACATAAAAACATTCTTTTCTTTTCAATGATTAATCCGTTTTAATACAAATTTATTTTTAAAAAAAGCCTTTGTATGATGCAATACAAGAAATAAGGACTTCTCCAGCAGATAATTCTTTTCTTTTCAGTTGAACGTCCCTCGAGGTGGAAGCCGCCTTGAACTTTGTTATTAAACTCAACGGGAAAATAAATTGCCGGATATATTACGAAAGGGATTCATTTTCAAAAACGCATCCATGTGGATGTTGACCTTTCGGTGTGGATGGTTCGGTCAATTTCAATTTTACTTATTTTTTCTCCTCATTCTGCCAAGCAATCGATCATAAGCCGGGTGTTCTCGCAACCTCGATACAACAGGGGAAAAAGCTTGCTCGATTATCGACCTGACGGTTCATATTTTATTTGAACGCCTTGGGCGTGGTATCAAATTAACTCATAACGAGAGATTTATGCTTGTTTATATCTACTAAATCTTTTTCTATAATTCTTCGCTTTTTTTAATTGCCCTAACCACGCCGGAAACAAATCGCACGAGGTTAGCAAAATCCCTGCAGTTTGTTACGTAGGAACAGATCATCTCAGAATAATCCATCTTCTTATAATGAGTTTCACTTTGTGCACGAGGAATTTCGGAAGAGAACATCTTGCTCTTTACTGCAATTTCAAACCATGGCAATCACAGAGTTTATTTAACCACTCAAATGGCACGGTTTCAAAAGGATTATTTCGTTTCTTTAGCGTGATTGTCTCTGATCATCCTGTTCTGTCTACACTTCCCATCATACTTCTTGAATTTCGAAAAATAATTCTCTCTTGATCGATTTCATTCATTGTGATCTGCCTACCTGCCTGATTTTGTCATATTCAATGCGTTTGTACTCAACCACTAGAAGTACTAAGCAAAACCTTGACGAAAAAGTATCATAGTCAGAACCGACAAGGGTACGGGAGCTGGAATCTCCGGGATGAATCTAAAGACAGAACTGACGGTAAACAATTTTCTGAAATCATAGCGATCATCAATCATCACTGCGCCAGTGAAATAAAAGGCTAGGAATGCATTCCCGGAAGATAGCCATTTTGTCGGACAGTCAGGCAGTTCTAAAGGCCCTAGCCTCATGCGAGATGAAGGCAAAGAGTGTTTGGAACTGCATGGAAGCTCTCACGGAAGTCAGTGACACTAATGACCTGACCCTGGCATGGTCCCTGGTCACTCTGGGTATAGAGGCAACGAAAAGGTGCGAAAGAGTGGGCCAACATGGACTCTCTAGGTCCTGAACCCCTGTCGCTTAGCATACTGCCACAAAAGAGGTGCATTATAAAATGGATCTTTAATGAAGAGATACAGGAGGGCCATCCGCAAAACTTAAAAAGGAATTACTGGAAGGCAACCGCAACCGAACTAGGATTCTGGTTGGACTCCTAACAGGGCACTACCACATAAGGAGGCACATGCACCGGATAGGAATGCGCAGAAGAAACACTTTGCAGATGCAGATACTGCCAGGAAGAGGAGGAGAACGCCTTCTATGTTTCTGTGTAGGTTTGTGTAGGTGCAGGTACTGCAACTAGGACAGGAAAAAAAGATCCTACATTTAGGAGCTGCTAGGAGGCTATGGAGGTTGATTAACAACCTGAAGTTGGCCAGTTAGTTATAAAAAACAGGGAAGCCCATTAGATCTTCTCAGGTCGAGGTGCAGAATGCTGCTTGTGGCCGCCTTTTTTATCCCTATCCTTATCATATTCATATCATAAATATCTTTCTTCTACGAATTTTTAATATTTATTCTTTACCAAAAATTATTATTTTTATCAAGTTATTCTTCATTATACACAATTTTTTCGAAATGAAAAATTTGGGTCACGGGCGGGATTCGAACCCACGACCTTCGGCTCAATACGCCGCTGCTTTTCTAACCACTTGAGCTACCGTGGCTTCGATCACCCATTTATTCTTTAGTTCGATCGATTTGGTATGTGTGGTACACTTTGGAATCGCCGTGTTCAGTCATGAAATGAAATGAAGAGGCGCCTGTTCTCGCTGGTTTTCTCAGTTAAACGCATTTTGCCTTAAATTAGACTGTTGACCTCTTCACATTTTGCAAACTTTTAACATGAAAAAATGAACATTTACATTGAGAAACAGTTTTCCCCTTCGTGTATAACAACAAGGAGCTCGATAAACGTGGCAACCTAACAGAAGATTGGGTATCTACGATGAATTTGATCTGTCTGTCCTGTTTTTGTCAGTCAGGTGCGATTTTTGTGTCATTTTCAGTGGTGGGTTTATTCAGCACTGAACTAAAATTTTTAAGGAAAACTATTTGAATTTGGTCGTTTCCGATTTTTTTTGTACCTCGGTAATGACGAACTTAAAACAAATGGTCATCACCCCCTACTGAGAAATCCCAAAATTTGCTGGTTTGGGTGCGTTAAAAGACCCATCACAATGCATAGAAAAAAAATCATCTGACAGACCAAAATGGCCGGAAGCGAACAAGCTACAGGTTCATCACTCTACGGAGAAAATCCCACATTTCTACTTTAGCTTATTCAATATTTGTCAGTTCAGGATAGTATCATACCAGCAAGGATGAGCAAACCAAGGTGATCTTAAACGATTGAACAGAAACGACAATTGAAATTGAAACTATTATCTGTTCAACCCAGCACACCGAAACGTTCCAAACATGTTCACCCGATACTTAGCAACAGGCTCCCCTGGACGTGACATGTTTTCCGGGTACTTTGCCGTCAAGGTTCAACTCGAAAAAACGGCCGTCACCAGTTTCAAAAAGTAGGCTTTCTGAAATAACGAGAACAAATGCCTGTTTTAAATGGCAAGCTTCCTGCTCCATCAGTCGGAATATGTTCAAACCCAATTAATACACCGAAATTTTAAATTTGCCGATTTCCTTGTATGACAAGGCTTTCACAGTCTAATATTCGTCGGGATATCTTTCAACCGTCAGACCAGAAATACAGTTGCCCTTTGCAGGTTTAGCATAAACTTGAATTTGTTTCGGCCCGAGTGAGTTTATTCTATCCTCAAAACGCCCTGGTCTGTGTGTTCTCGTCATATTTTGTTCGTAATTGTTTCTTAATTCGTAGTTTTTATACTTTCGAATCCAGTTAGAATTATGAATCTCTTTCTTCCTTTTATGCATTCAGTACTTTCCTTTCAAATCTAGTATGAAGGTTTTTGGATTGTTTGTGTTTCACTTTGTCACACTTTCGCCATGTTTTTTTTTTTTCTTTTCCTAAGATATTCGTTGATGCGATGAATCCATAAACCATAAAAGGCCTCAGGACTTATCAACGATGTAGCAGCCCCTTTCCTTGCAAGGCCATTCGCTTCTTACTCATGTATGTCCTGCAGTAGAGACTGATTCTGTTTTTCACACCTAGCATGTTTAGTTAGGTTTTGTACAGCACCATTCACAAGCTGATGATATTCGAATTTAATACTCTCTTTCGTGGTTATGTCTGCTTTTATACCACTGTTCAAATTGAATTGAGCGCATCCCTAATTGCAAGCATTTTAATTTTAAAGTTACTGGTGGATATGCCCTTGGGGTCTGAATGGTTTTGGGGCCAAATACTCCTTCCCGTTGTATTTAATTAAGTACTAGATCCATCGGTGTGCCCAAAGATTGTATCTTCCTTTATTTTGGTTTTTTCCCTTTTCCCACTCCTGTTGGTGCTTAGGACTGGAAATTTTGTTTAAATTCAAAAATCCTGTTTGTGTTATCTCTAGGAGACATGAGTATCGGCTATCTTTTCATTAGGCCAAAAATATTTCAAGTCTAGTGAGAAGTTATGGAGTTCAAAAAGAAAGGCAAAAACAAGTAAAAGACAAAAAAATTAAAGAATGAAATCCGGCCCGGAGGACCAAAAATGTTGAGGAGAGGTCACTTTTGACCCACAAGCTTCTCTTTCAAAGTGTTGATGGTCCTAATCTCTATAAAGTTCACGTAATGACAAAGTTTAATGAAAAATATATTTTTAATCTTATTTTTGTTAATATATATAAAAGACATAAATTTCTGACTGTTTCATTTATATTATGCTTAAATATTACATTTTCCTTAAAAGTTTTCAATTCTTTGTTCATTCTATTTCTTACATTAAGTTTATGAAAATATTAATTGATTAATTGTTGTTGCAGGTCTTTATGGTACGCTGTTTAGAAGAAACAAGGAAGCCGCTTTCAGTAACTACAGGCTGTGGGAAAGTGCCGGTTTCGTCGTTGCATACGCTTACAGCACTCATTTGTGCGCCAGGATGAAACTGCACGTGATGCTCACCGTTCTCATAATCGGTTCGATCGGCTACTGCATAGTTGAGATCCTCCACAAGAGGAAGAAGCAGAGGATGAAGAAGGCGGCTGAAGCTCAGATCGATAACAAAATTGTTCCTCCAGTACCTGTCGTTGAAGAAACCGATGACGAAAAGGATGATATTGACGACGAGATGATAATCACTCACTTGTAAATATCTGAACGTCTTTAGAGAAAATTATGATGAATATGCGGTGATAACTTAACAGACCCAGGACTGGCAGACCGGGTTTCTATTACGCTCGAACTGAAGAGAAATTTTATCTTTTAAAATACGAAAACAAACTCGTTGAGATTGTTTGTAATAGAATGTGTAAATAATTAATGTAGTGGGTCTATAAGGCTCCTTAGAATCTATGAACAACCAATACTCAGCGTATGCATGTAAGTGTGAAACATGTAAGTAATTAGTATGAATGATTTTGTGTATATTTAGGTATGATAGTATTTCACAAACAGTATTCTCAGCCATTTTTTTATATATATTATTTAATAATTGTAACAGACACAAGAAGTGATAGATAAAGTCTGTCTTGATCAAACTCACCAAAGCAATGCCTGATGTGTCTATGGTAAACCTGAGTAGCTTAAATCACTCAAGGCGCTTCTTGTGTGTTGCAAAAACATTCAAACTGCAATTGTGATCAAATAGTAATTAGTTAAATTGGTTAGAATTGGAATATAAGTGCCTTGAATATGTGATTCTCATTTTTAAAATAATTTTAAGAATCTAAATTATTTTAGTGGCAGCTGTAATAATTTATCTACCTTTGAACACCCAAATGATAGAACGGGGTGTTGTAAACCTCAAGGAAATTATTATTTATTGTGTAACTTTACTGATAAGCACAGATGTATTGTTTATCGCATTTTTATTTATGGGTATCCTACATACCTGTACTACTTGTTAATATTGTTTTTAAAGATATGTTTTATTTTACAAAAAAAAAATATATGAGTGTGTATATATAGTTAAACTAAATAAAACAGTGAGCCGTTTAGATTGTCGTTTTCCTTACTTTCCTTGAAAAATGTTAAGGTTATTTCCTATTTGGTGTTGAGCCAAAAGTTCCATTTCCTACTTACCTCAGCATTTATTACAAAAAACAGGTTGAGAAGCCTAATATCACAAGGCAAAAAACAAGTTAAACACAATATAAAAATAATTATATCACTAAGTAAATATAAGAACGAACACTCTGGATCAAGGTATGGTCGTGAAGAAGAAAGCAAATTCAGGTTACTGCCAAGCTTTTGACCTATTTTAATGTCATCATCAGGGCAAAACAGTCTGAAATATGTCTAGATTGACATATTTATGTTTTTTACAAGCGATCTCAAATTTCCTTGAAGATCGACTCAATCCCAACATTGCCAAGAATGTTTAAACTAAAAACATGTATAGCAAAGATTACCAAACTGTGCTGTGGCTCCCTGGAGTGCTGCAAAAATTTTCTATAAAAAATTTTATTTTTATATTTATAAAAAACCTGAAAATACCCTTTTATAAAATCTTAAAAACTAGACCCTGGTAGCCATCCACTCAAAATGGATAATGAGACCCTGCAATTGTGTATTTTATATTATTGCCCTAAAAAAATATTCCATTTATATTTTAGCTATTGGGTGCTTAATTGCTTTTCAAAAGGCAATTTTTCAATTTCACATGTTTTTGTGTTTCAATTATTTATTAAATAAAATTGTAGTATTATCATAAAGTTCATGTCGAGTAGGTTATTTTTTGACTTGTGGCGCCTCAGAAAATTTCTGATATATTAAGGGCGCCGGAAACGGAAAAATTTTGAGAACTGCTGATGGTATAAAAGAATTTTTTTTTTTTTTAGCGACCCTAATGGTCAAAGAATGTTTAATATGATCAACAATAATATAACATAAAATAATTCGCCCCTCATTTTAAATATCCAACAGAGATCCATCAAGTCAATCAGCAGTTCATTTGTGAATTAAAACTGTCCAGCTGTTTATAGAACTAGGTGAACTAAGATTTTCTAGATTCGATTCCCACCATCGCCTCTGGGCTTTTTTTCTGACCTATGGGGACAAATTGACCCTGAATTTGGGACCAACCCACTTCAAAAATGAGTTTCTTCAATAGAAGAACACTAGCCTTCACATGGAGCCAGGGATGAAGTACAATAAGCATTGAATTGTGGGTTCAAATCCCATTCATGACACTAGCTTTTTCATCTCAACCAAGACCTTACATAAAAGGAATAATAATTGAAATTAGTCTGTAAAGTTGTTCTCAATTTTTTTTTTTTAATTACTCATAGAAAATTAAATTGTTTTGTATTTTAATAAATGTGTCCTTTTCAATATGTAAATATCGTGCACTATTTACTTAGAATTTTTTAATTATACAGTTAATTGGCCTAATGAAATTATTAAGTGTGCGAGATAGACACATTTAGCCAGTTGAGTTGTAGAGACACAAGCTTATGCCTTACTCGCTGATTAATTTCACAATAACTATTTATTTTATTATTACCTTTTGTTTTACAGTTAACTGTTTCACATATTAAACATTGTGGCGCCCATTTACAATTTAATATTTAACAATTAATTAAGGTTTCAGTTGAGATAAAAAAGACAATGGCACGAGCGGGATTCGAACCCACGATCTTCGGCTTGATACGCAAAATCTTTATAATTAATATCTTTAATTGTAAGATATTAATTGGTCAAGTGGACCACAAAACTAGTGAATTTAATATTTAACTATTTAACCACACCCATCTCCACAGAGCAAAGCCGGCTAATTTTTGGCATACGACACCGCCAATTCCTTTAATCATATTTTAAGATTTTGCCTTTCTTCTATATTTTGAATTTTCTACGCTTTTTTTGCTCATACTTCTTTCCAGTTATTTTTGCGATTTGACACCCCCTAAAGAAATTTTCATAAGCTATCATAGAAAAGAACTGGAATAACACAAAGACATAACAATAAATTCTTTAATTAACCAAATATCATTTAATTGCATTAAATTTTTTATAGAGAACGAGTAAATCAATAATGCAATATTCTATTGTAATAAAACATTATATACATTTACATAATGCAACATTAATTTCATCTCAACATTTAAAAAATCATTTTAAGAATCTAATATACCATATATAAGCAGTCACTCCGCTTAAAGCATACCTAAAATTTAAAAAAAAATTAATAATGTTAAATTTATGATTGAATAATTCTAATAATACCAAGTAAAGATGTATGACAAGTGTTCATTTCTTAAAGATGACCTTGTCTGTCCACCAATGGGACCTCCATCAACTGTACTTTCAGCAGTGGCATCGATGTAAACAGGTCTACTCTGTACTGTTTCTGCCATTAATTCAACATCCCTACATTAAATAAAATAATGTTTCATTTTCATCAAAACTAGTGATTTAAAAATAAAAAAAAAATATAAAAAAAAAGAGCTCACCTTGCAAACCATACTCTAACATCCATCTTATTTAATGGCATGTAGGACGGAGGGGGTTCACTCACCCGCAAAACGCCTTCGAGTGTAACTTCCTCTTGAATCTGACCAGCCTTCCTCTTTTCAGGATTTTTCAACGAATACGGGACCCAGCCTCGGTTTACTAAAATTTTCTCCCTTGTTTTCCATTTGTTACATTAACAATTCATACAAACGGTCAAATTTGAAGAAACTCACTTTGTGTCTGATAAGATGAAAGGTGTTATCACCAGGTATCCAGCAGCATTGTTCGATCGTGACGATACCAGTTTGTTGTTGAATTTAGACTCACCCTCCACCAAACAAGATCTTGGCCCTAAGTACATTTCCTGAGAGTGATCAAACGTACCAGTTACTATCACCTTCCTATACTCAAGTCCTTCCAATTCACTATCGCTACAGGAAAAAAAAAAATTTGTAGGTATATGTATTGAACATATTTGTAATTGTATATGGCATGCTTAATCATACTAGACCAAAAGCAAAACACTTTTGAAACAATGTGCTAATCTCTAGCTAACTTCCTGATAACAATTCTGTCAGAATGCACAAACAATCAAAATTTTGAAGTAGATCCTTCTTGCTTATCTTCATTTGTTTTGCCTCATTTTATCAGCTACAGTGGTAGGTCTGGGTTATATTGTGTCATCCATGATCTGGATATGAAAGGGGCCAAATATTGCATGTTCTGTCAGTAAGTTTTTTTTTTTTTTTTTTTTTTTTTTACGAGGGTTCACAACAGCAGAGATTATATCAACCCTCTGAGTGCCATTGTTTTTGAAAAAAACAAAAACATTTGTAAGTATGTCGGGATCGAATGCACGGCCGTTGGATTCGAACCTGGGGCCTTTACCTTACAGTGATGAGCACCGTGTCAACGCCTAAACCGTTGCGGCACCAACGCCCCTCAAATGATTCTTGAAAGAGGTATTGAATTCCAATCCACACATCACCTTTTTATAGATTTTAAAAGTGCTTATAACATCATACACCGAAGCCTAAGAGGCCATACAAGAAATGAATTAAAATTTGTAAATTAAAATCAATTCAAATTCATTGTTGGTGAAAATAATGAATATGTCAACTACAGTCTGCTTGCTTATCTCCATTGGTTTGGCCTCATTTTATCAGCCACAGTGGTTGGTCTGTGTTATATTGTGTCATCCATGGTCTGGATATGAAAGGCGCCAAACACCCCCTGATCCGGATTTCAGGGCTGAGGCAAGGTGACTCTCTAGCCTGCCTCCTATTGAACATATCCCTAGCAAAAATAATCAGGGGTTCTGGCATCCTCAGGAAGCATAAAATATTGGCTATGTCGTTGTTGAAGGACATCACAGCACACACAATCCCATGATTAAAGGATGTTTTCGTTTTTTTAGTTTAACTCCATTAATAGCATCTCCTAGATCAGCAAGAGAATCATAGCTACTAATAGGAGATATTTTTGTCTTTCAAAATACATTCGACTCTTGTTAATTCAAGTTTCTTGATAATATGAACTCTTGGCAGGTCCCTTCCGTAATAAAAAATTCACTGCATTTTGATGCACTAATATGAAATATTTTTTGTAACAGGGGGAGAAAATGTGTGCTATTACTTGAAATGGACCACTTCCCATCTTTATAATTTACACTTTGTCATTGTTATATTTCACTAAATTTCCACGTATTGTTTACTTCCTTACAGCTTAAAGTTTCTTTGAATTTTTTTATAGTTGGTTATGTTCTGCGGTAGGCTCCATAAAACCTTCATCCACCCAATACTGACATACGCTTCTCAAACTTAGACCATGCCCAAGACAGATAATAAGAAACTCTTGATCTTCAAAAGGAAAATTCTTGGAAAAATTTTCTACACCTTAAAAGAAAGGGATGAATGCCAAAGAGAACGAATGTGTACAATCTGTACAAAGAAGCGAATATTGCAAAAGTAATGAAGTTATCAAGATTAAGCTGGGCTGGTCATGTGAGGATGGAGGGGGCGAAGTGCAAAGTTGGACAACTCGGCAAGAGCAGAAAGGTTGTAATGTCTAAGCTTAGGTGGCTTGATGGTGCACACATAGATGCCAATTGCTATCATCAAGTAGGCAGCTACAAATGACAAACTTCTGTCAAAAATATATTCGGGAGGCCAGGAACCACAAAGGGTTGTTATATCCTTAAAATAGGTAATCAGTAATTTAGTATCATGGATGAAAAAAAAAGTTTGATTTTTCCTACGTTTGGTAAATATTTAATACACTTCAGTGCCCATTATAGTAAAAACAGGAAAAAACTGAAAAATTTCTAAACTAAAAGGAAAATGTTTCAGTACTGCATGATCTTAAATATCAGGCTGTAAAATATGAACGAAGTGTTTTTTATGGTAAATTCTATGAAAATTACAGGTACTTGTAAACACATTTAATCACCAATATATGAACCATTTTGTTCCACTACCTTTTCTATTTTGTGGTTCCATCCTCTTAGAACTTTTCAGGTTTTTGAGTGATGAACTCCTCAATATGTTTTTCCTTAAGTGAAGTACAATTTTCCCAAGTGTTTTAGCCTGGAATAAGTGAAAGCCTGAAGGGCAAATACGTTGGGTGGGGTAGCGTATCCCAACCAAAGTCCAACAATTTCTGAAGCTTCTGTAAATCCACATACAGGGTGAGTGTTATCCTGGTGTAAAATTGTGGAAAACAATCCCTTTGAGATTGGCCAATGTTGGTCATATTTTGATCAACTGCTGACTTTAATTGATCAAATTGTGTGACAACTGAGGGTTTTGATTGGGCAAAAGCTCATTAAAGCATTCATTGTCATGGGTTATACGACAACAGGCCCAAAATAATTATGGGTGCCTGAAGCTCGGTGGAGAAGTTTGTCTAGGGTTTGATAAAACAAACAAAACAAATATCATTCAGACACACTATTTTCCCAAGAATAATGAACCTTTGAAAATATACCTTCTGGTCCATAAGAGGTATATGAAAAGGCTTGGTTATAAATAACAAAATAAGATAAAATAACATTATACAAAGTATGTACATTAGAAAAGTTGAAAATAAATCTAACTTTAAAAAAAAAAATCAAACCCTAACTAGTTGGCAAACTCTGCAATGAGATTTACAAAAATCAAACAAAACCCTGGAATCTTTTTCCCTTCTGCGGTGCAAAATCCGTCAAGGTCTTCGGATACCATGCAACCATAAGAAAATCGCCAAATATCAGGAAACCAACTTTTTCATTTTTTCTGCTCAATCGCAGCGTCTGTCCCATGCATCCTGTTGTAACCATAGCCTACCTATCCTCGTTGGATAGCTACTCTCTAGTCTGTTGCCCATTAAAATAGGAAACTGTACTGTGGAAGAGAGGGAACTATCATGGCAAATACATCCGAGGAAGAAGGTTAGGGTTAATCCTGACAGGAGTTTACTGGTAGAAGGATGTAGATTTTTTTTTTTTTTTTTGTCACCGAGAAATTTAAATATTTAAATGTATATATATTTTTAATTTCATTTGTTTATTTTGAATTTTTTTAAAATTTAATCTCTGAACATTGCATTGTTGAATGAATATTGTTGTACAAGGAAACGAGAACTTTTTGTACAGTGTAAATTCAGTTTGTTCCATACAAGATGAACTTTTTTAAATATATTATTTTGCTTATATTGTATTCCTTTTTATTATAAGATTTAGCCTCTCATTCCTCCGCTCTTGTACCATCAAGGTACATTTCTTGAGTCGCCTAGCTTTCTGGTGAGCCCCTCCATTTCGAGCAGACCCCATTTTACCCCCATCGCAGAAAAAAATCTTCTTTCTTTCGTTTTCTTGTTACAACATGCCAATCTCATCAAATATAAACATGTTCTAGGGTGTAATCCAGCTTTTGGAATTGTTAATGGCTGGTCACTGGATTTTCCCCAGGATTTTTCTGAAGATAGTAAAAACCCATTTTTCATTCCCAGTTATAATAATAGGCCATTTATATTGCGTTTTAGAAAGAAATCGAGATGTGCTAAATGTCTTCAATGTCTCATATCGTTACGTGTGGGCTTTTTGTAATAAAAGCTTGTTGAAGGACAAACAGAACACTTTACGTCTCCCAAATCTAAATTTCTGCAGAATGAGTAAGCAAACTGTTCGGGACGGTGCTTTCTACTGAAGCGTCAACTATACACATCAGTAATTTTTGATTAGTAAAACACCTTGTGAAAATACAAGATCTTGAACGAAACTGATCAATAAAAACACCTTAATCCTTTTCAGAGAATTTAAACAATAAAGACTGAATAAATATTGCTTCCAAATACAAGTAGGATAAAATTGAATTATTGAAAAATGCTAAGAACTTATTTTACAACCCAATATAAAATTTAAAAATAATAATAAATAAGTTTATGATTATTCAGAGATGGTGAGATGCGCTCTGGTGTGACGCAGGTTTTAGAAAAACATTTTCTTTATCATGCCAACGTTTCAATCTTTATTGAGAACATCTTCAGAGTTCAAAGTGTTTGTTTTCCGTGTAGATGTGTCATTTTTGTGTGTCGTGTTGAGAGTGTCCAATAAAGATTAAAAAAATGTTTTTTGTAAAACCTACGTCACACCAGACCACATCTCACCATCTCCGAATGACTATTTTTAGTTCCAATGATTTTTTTAATGTTTGAATTACACAATTTTTAATAATCAATAATTAATTTTGTATTTTAGATAACTAATTAGCCCTGACTCCATGAAGAAAGAACATTTGGGTCCAAAATAACCTTAGTAAAACTTACTACATGGATATTTATGCTCATTTGTTAGGTTTGTATGTTGTCTACAATCACAAAAAATTAACACCCTTAGTCAGTCATTGACCACCATTATCGTTAGAGCATATAAAATAAATTAATGAAAGCCAATATATGCAAGAAAAGTGTCACAAACAAAAAGGGGTAGTTTTTTAGGGGCAGTATAGGCAGATTTTTGAAGTTTTGTGTTTTCGCTTGTCTTGGAAAAACAATATTGATGGACCATGCCAGTTTTTATTGCTAACAACCGTAATGGCGTATACTTAATACATAAGTAAAAGAATACTACGGTTTGTCTCTCCTGTAAAATTATCTTTTGTTAATCGTCTTGTAAGTGTGCGATATGTACAAATTTGGTCTTATTAGTCTTGGCAGATCTCAGACTGGGCTATTAGTTCCAAAAATCTCAGTTGTGGAAGAGAATTTCTCGATTTACGCGTTTTCATACAAACACTTTGAGCCCTGAAGATGATCTCATTAAAGAACGAAACGTTGGCACGATAAAGAAATTTTTTTTCTAAAACCTGCGTCACACCAGACTGCATCTGACAAACTATGAATAATCATTGACTAACGGTCACTAAACACCGAACAAAAATAAAGTTTACGATTGATTAATTTTCAAAAAACTCTTACTCCGCTGGTAGAGGAATGGAAGGTTGGTTGGTTTTCGTCGTTATCTTTTCGATAAGATTTTCTTTCCACTTTTTTCGCTTCACTTGCCAAGTCCCTAGTGCAAACGTCCCTACAGGCACAAGCTAAAAAAAATTTTGAAAATCTTATGAACCACAATTTAAAAAAAAATTATATCAAAGATACTTACGAGTATAAACCATCCCATCAAGGGTATTCCTTTATTGCTGGACAGATTCAAGTTTGGCCTGGGATATTCTTTCTTCATCATTGCCTCGCTGTTTAACAACCTTTGTTTTTGACAATAAATAACCTAAATTGTTCGATTAATAAATTGTTAGACTAATTTAACAATAAATAAAGGAACAAATCAATAAATATACCAGTTGGGTTCTACTGCAGACAGCATGCCTTCTAAGAGGACTTATAGCACATTTTATCCAATTCATTTTAAATCAATTGATAGTGATTTAAACAATTCTAAACCAACCCTTAATCAAAAAGGCTGAATTAAAATATAAATACATTTTATCTCGGCTTGGAAAACGTAAAACCGAGAAGGTTTTCTCCTTATCACATGTTGAACTTAATCTTTGTGACATGTTAGAAAAAACTGTCACATTAGTCCAGACATGGATAAATATTTTAATTTTATTCATCTAGAAAATTTACTGATTTGTTGGTAATAAATAAATCAAATAGGAAACAAAAATGAAATGTGCAAAGATGCTGAACAAGTTCATTTTTAATGCAACTAGCAGCATTTAAATAAGTTCTTTTTAAAACACCATAGAATAAATGGTGCCATTAAATATTAAAAATGATTCTAGACTTAATTTTAATTTCAAAAAAATGCACAAATGCGTGGACCATCTAAGATGGACTTAGCAGCCTTAATCTTAAATGAGTAAGTCATGTATGGTACAGTAAAAAATAAAAAACTATACATAGCTATACATACACCTAATAATAATCTACAATGCTCTCATTTGGGGAAATATTTCTGAACCCAATTTTGCTAAGCTCCAGCTAGACCAAAATTCTGCAAAAGGCATTATTGGAGTGATTCGGATTTTCAACAGTTCATAATCAATATAGTTACTTTTGGACTGCATCGGTATTCAAGTAAATTTGAAATAATCTGTACACATATTTAAGATTAAAGATGAGATGATGTATCGACCTGCTGTTGAGCAACTTGGAAAAAAGGATCTTCGGTGAGAACACAACTGAACAACAATTCTTTAAGTTTTTGCCAAGCTTTCGACGCGTATATCGTCATCATCAGGGCCTGTTTATTTTAGGAAAATATGCACTTAGAACATATTGTATAATTTAAAAAAAAATTACATTTTTCTTACTTTAACTCAATGAGTGTTGAAATATATCTTGAGAACAAGAAACTTCATTTATAATAAGATTATTTAAAATTAGGTGAAGCTCAGTTCTAAAAATTAACAGTACGGAATTAATTATAAACATGAAAAACAACATAATATAAAATTTTTAAAAAACGTGGCCGTATAGGTTACCTCGGTTAAATTATACATATAAGTAAGCTTTTTTTTTTTTTATAAATAAAATTACTTTTTCAGGTACATGTGAATATCACAGTTAAGATTAATTAATCTCTTTTTAAATTATACTATATGTAGATAACTTAAAGTGCTAACTTCTAGGAAGAGATATGAGGCTCAGGGCCTCAAGTGGCTTTTCTGTTGTAGGTGATCTATAAAATATTTAAGATTGTTTTGCCCTGATGATGACCTTAAAATAGGTCATAAATAACGTGTAAATAAATGTTGTTAAAGTTTTTTTCTGTTCGTGGATGATTTGTGAATAGTTTGTACTTGAATATTCTTATTGTCTTATTTTATTTGTTTAATACCTTTATTGTTTTGTGTATGATTGGGAGTTTAATGTGTTTTCCACTAAACTATTTTATAATAAAATGCTTTTTAAAAATCTTCTTATATTTAAAGCAGTTAGGTGAAAAAGGTGCATTAACTGTGTACAAATATAAGCCTATAATAAACAAATACTGTAAATTAAAAATTACATGCAATACAATTCATACATAGATAGGCATGACTATTGTGCTCCTAAACAGGTTAGAGGCTTATTATCTAGTTTCAGGGTTTTTTTATTATTTCCCCATAGTGATAGAGGCTCAGTTTATTTGTTGGATTGAACTATTTGTTCTTCATGTATGAAAAAAAATTTTCCTCAATTTGATCTCTCAGGGATGCCTCTGTAAAAAAGGTGATCTAGAAAATCCAACAGCTATAGACCAATATACTTCTTACAGTATTTTCTAAAGTGTTCAGTCATATACAAAAGAACCTTACCATTTTTTAAAATAAATATGGATCACTTTCCAAATTCCAACATAGCTTTCTGAAACACAGTCATAACACTTTTTAACCTTATAAAGTATGTGCACTTCAGATGAGGAAATTTAGCAGCTTTTGACTGAGTTCGTCATATTATTATCAAGTTGTATGGTGTAAGAGGTTTCAAGTGGCTCAACTCATATTTGCAGGAAAGACAAGTCTACAATGGATATTAATGTTGGCAATAGCTCAGAGCGGTCGGTTGCTATAAAGAATATGGAAGAGCCTGCAGACCTCAAGAAGAAATTGCAATTTAAAAATATTAGTTTTTTGCTGGTTTCAAATGTTGAAATATTATTTTTAAATAATATGCAATGTGTGGTGATTAGTGATCGTTAATCGATAATTATTCAGAAATCGTGAGATGTGGTCTAGTGTGATGTAAGTTTCAGAAAAACATTTTCTTTATTGTGCCAACGTTTCGATCTTTATTGAGATCATCTTCAGGGCTCAAAGTGTTACACTAAAACATAGGCACGATAAAGAAAATTTTTTTCTGAAACCTACATCACACCAGACCACATCTCACGATTTCTTAATAATATGCAATGTGTTATAGATAAATACATTTCATTCTGCAGGACTACAGAAGAAAAAAAATGCACCAGATTAAATGTGATTAAACTTCCTTGTTTATTTCAACATAAATAAAAAAATTGGATAAAAATAAATCCGACATCCTTCTTAGTTTTTAAATATAAAATTAGGACATTTTATGTAATGCCGTTTTGGTTACAGTGTGTACATATAGTATTTATACATAAAAATTAAATATTTTGGATTTGATAAAAGTAAAGTCTAGACTTCTTCTAGAGCTTTGAGTAACATTTCTCGTGATTTAAGTGTCTTCCAGGCCTGTTCGCGTTCCTTATCCTGGAGTGTTTTCTTGTTTTTGAGCTTGGCCGCTGTTATCTTTCGATAAATTTCAATCAACTAGAAAAACAATAAATTTTAAACATTGTAAAAAATGTAAAATAAATTCTACGCATACCTGAGTGTCGAGGGCTTTTATTTTCTTCTTGATCTCTTGCTTTTTCATTTCCTGTTTGGCCTCCTCAACCAGCCTTGTGAGGTGCTCTTTATTTTGAATGGCGACTGTCTTGAGTTCTTCATGACATTTCCTAATCTCAGTTAAAATTTCATCGGTGTCCTCACTCTTCAAGAATCAAATATTTATTAAACAAAAGAATAAAAACAAAAATAATTGAAAATCATACATTATCATTGTTATCGAGAAGTCCGACGACTTCGAGTTCTCTTCTTATCCTCCTTTCAAAACAAGATGACGTGTGATAGAGTGGTAACTTTCCTAGGAAAAGTGTAGAATCATTTTCATCTAAAACCAAAAAAGTTTTTTGTTTTTCTTAAAAGAGCAAATTTTTAAATAAGTTGACAAACCTCCTAATTTACTGTTGAAGGAATTGTGTGAGGGCTCATCCATCAGTGCGGATACGAGTCTTTGTACAAAAGGCCCAGGAGTTCTATCAGAACTGGAAAGTAATTTTAATTATTTTATAGAAAAGTGAAAAATATTTAATCACTCACCATAAAGATGACGCTCGTTTTATTAGACTGATTGAATCCGATTCAGAACTTGGACTATTTTTGGTTTGTCGTATAGCTGATGATTGTTTCTCTTCGCTTAGATCTTCATCAGCCCATCTTGATGTATAATGAAGGCCTAATGGTGGTATCTTAATCATCATGTCATTATCACAACTCTGTATTAATTCTTCAAGGTCCTTTAAAAAATATTTATAATTGGAAAGTGACAAACAACAATTTCCTGAAATTACAAACTTCGATATTTTCTTCAGTGATATCTCCTACGTAAGGTTCGACCGAAGCCCAGAACTTATTCGATAGCTCGTTATTTATCTTCTTCTTCTTCTCCTTCTTTTTTTCACAAAGAACGTCTGAAGAGTTGTCCTTGAAAACAATATTGACAAATTATCATATGCAGATATGAGATATATTTGTAATTTTGACTAGTAATTACAATTTCATTTTCACTAGAAGAGCTCTCCATTTTTGTTGTCGCTTCCTTCTCGCGAACCTTCACCATTTCTTTCATCGACTTACCTACTTGCCCGTCATTTAACTTTCTTTTTTTCTAAAAGGGATAAAGCGAAATAGCTTCGTTTCATTATGTCAAATAAATGCATTCTTACATTATTGTTAATTATAACAGAAGTTTCGTTTCTATTTCCTTCCGTGGCACTGAAATTGTTCAGTTCGTTGTGAAGCACCCTGAGTCTGAGGGCAGCTGCAGATAGCATCTGCTCCAATTCAGACTGGAGCCGGTCCAGATCCTTCATCCCGACAGCATCTTCCTTGTTTCTGTTTAAAACTAAAAAGTAAATTAAATTAATATGGCGTAAAATGCACTTAAGAAAAAAAAACACTGATACAGTTGACAAAATTAATTTAAGGTTATATGCGCCAAGAACTGGATGGCTAAAATATTACAAAAAAAAAATACAATATCAAAGTAAAAACTTAAAAGGTTTGAAATGCAATAAAAAGACCTTAAGTCAGCATCTGCATGCAAAAACGAAAATTATCAACACAAATCATCAGTTACTTTATCAAATACAAAATGGTAGCTACGGCTTATTTTGAAAGATTCCAAGGTTTTATTAATGCGTTTTTACTTATGAATAACTTTAATGCATTTAATTTTGAGAGGAATGCTAGATTGCAGATGAAACAAAATTTAAGGAAAGTAATTAAACTAAAAACACACTGAAGATGGAGAACCACTAAAATGTAACTGACCAAACTTCTAGGAAGGACAGACCAAATGATTTGGAAATGACCGAAACTACAGGTATTAAAAACTGTGAAATAGCGAAATATGTCTGACAGACTAACGAGCTAAAATAGGCAGACCGAGATGATCAGTGAAGACCCAATTACAAATACCCCTCAGACATCAAGAGATAACTGCCAAATGGATTTCCAGAAGATGACAAAGCTTATAATTACTTAAATTCACTATTTTTCGTGGTCCGCTTGACCAATTAATACAATTCAATTAATTAAAGTTTTAGGTTGAGATAAAAAAGTCAGTGTCACGAGCGGGGTTCGAACCCACGACCTTCGGCTTGATACACCGCTACTCTACCACTTGAGCTATCGTGACTTCGATCCCCTCGGGCACTACTTCCCATCTCAACCTCACCTTATAATTACTACAAGTAAAAATACATATAAGTTTAGTCACTTCATTTTGGTCTGGATTTATTTATTTATTTTTTATTTTTTTGGTCTTTGCTGTTTTGTGTGTCAGAAACAAAACAAACTTTCTTCTAGGCAAACTAATATGATCGATAAGGATCAAATTCATCACCCGACAAACCACAGGAAGAAATCTTATAAAAAAAGATAAGAAGAGAAGCACTAAGCAAAAGAAGTTTCTTAAAAACTGAATAGAGAGAACCTAGAGAATAGAAAGAAGTCAGAAGGTTTTTTGACTGTGCACTGTAAACTCAACCGACATCCGAAAAAGATTATCGTCAATGGACCAGAATGTATAGTTTCTGCAAAAGAGCAGAATACTTCGCAAAGCTACTCTACTATGAAGGAAACTTAAGAAGTACAACTTTTGCAACAAATGAATTAGGTCTCACTGGTTTACTGTAAGTACAGTAAATGAAGGCAGGTTTTTCAAGATCCAGCTTTTAAATCTACATTCTATAGCATAGTTAAATGATTTTATAAGTAAAGGTGTTTCACTCATCATTATGGATGAAGTTGTCCCCAAATGATGTTATAACAATGTGTATGAATATAGTGTTTTTTTTAATGACCTTATGATCTACATATTAGCCAAGGAGACAATTTATTTTGAATATGCAAATTGGGAGGGAGGGTATCGTGAAAAAGCCAGAGGCGATGGTGGGAATTGAACATTGAACCCATGACCACGAGGTCTATGAGCCGAGAGTACTTCCACCATGATAATCAAGACCAGCATCATCCAAGAGAATCCTCCAACAGGAACTAAAACGGAGGGGCTAGCAACAGCTTAATGAAATAACTCTAAAAGATAGCCTAAACAGTTTGCTCGAGTTCAAGCAAAATTTCCCAACTTAAGTGCCAAAAAAGAATGGGAAAGAGAGAGAAACCCCTTCATAAAAAATGGCACCTTCTGGGTCTTTCATGGATTAGAATGCAAGAAGGTACAGGAGCATGAGAATTCAAACCTGGAACTAAATACTCACATCCCACAGGAAAATACATCTGTATCTTCCATCCTTAAGTCCATGCAATCAAGAAGTGTAATCAGTTCAATATGAATAAAGGTACTATCAAGTAAGCATTAAGTTCAAATATCATTAGCTCAAAGAATTGCAAAACTAAACAGATTAAGTTTAAAAAATAAAGTCTCAGCTAGGTCCCAGGACATGTGGGAGTAAGAGGCAACAAGAGATTGTACGCTCTTACAAGGAAAGGTCCTGAGCCCTTCTGTAGCATAGGAATTCACTCATATAGTACAAACAACCCAAGAACCTTTAGCAAATTTTTGAAGAAATGAAACAATGCATTAAAGGAAGCAGGAAAAAACTGTGAATTCTAACAGTATTTTTAACAGGACACTGCAGACTAAATGGGCATTTGAACAAGATTGGTATAATCCAATGACACGTCCAGTTTCTGAAGAAGCAGAAGAAACATGAATCCACCTAGTAACAAACTGTGGCGCTACTTTGCCCGCAGTATTTTGGGACGTACAACATAACCGTAGAAGAGATTCAACCACTGAGACTGTACAAATCAAGTTTTATGATGAACTAGGATTCACCGGTGTGCTATAAGCACTGAACGGGTGACAGCTCTTAAAGAACATAGTGTACTAATTAGGTAGTAATAATCTGCATGCAGTTAACACAATCATGACGATAGGTTTTGACACAATTCATAAGAACGCTTACTCATCGTGAAGCAATGGAGGTCTCGAGACTTGTCGACTGACTTCAGGTACGGAAAATTGAAGAGTGATGCTTCTTGGCTCTCGCACGACTGGCTCCTTCCTTCTTTCTGCTTCCCGTTCGGGTAGACCTCCCTGCCGTGCTTCCCAGGGCCGTCCTTTTTCGAAACCGACTTGGGTTTCATTTTCCACTTTTGAAAAACAACATTGTAAACAAATCTGACGGATACACAGATTTAATCGCTTACCTTGGGTATTCCGTTTAGATGAAGGAAAAAAACCACAGGCCTAGGTTATTTGAATTCGCCTCTTTTTTTCGACAGTAAAACACTTGTATTTAAATCTTTCTCGACTATAATAAATAGTCTAGTATTTATTGTTTTTATTGTATTGTTCTGAAGGTCGATAATCGTGTAACCTCCTTTTCTTATGTTAGATATTTTTTTAACCAAAAGCTGATAAGAAACGAATTTTTTAAATTAAAAATAATTAATAATGTCACAGTATTATTTGTCTATAACTATTTTGTGAGTTTTAACAATTAAATAATTTTAACGAGACCCAGCCCTGGTCGAAATTTCCGCTTCCTGACGCTTAGTTGTTAAAAAATGTTTATAAAGTAGTAAGGTTATTGTTGACGTTATTTTCAAAATAAGCGTTTCAAAGGAAACTTTATTATTAAAAAATAAAATAAAAACAAATTCTGACGGCGATTCTTTCTTTTAACTTACACTATTTCGCCGTAATAACAACCTATATTTAAAAAGAAATCTATTTTATATATTAAAAAATGTTAAGTGTCTCAGGTAATTGAGTTCCGACGATATTTGAACAGTGAATTTTTGTTATTTTCCAAATAATGGACGACGATTACGACGACGAGAGAGGATGGGGAGAAAACGACATGGGAGACGATGTGAGAAAATTTTTTTTAAAAGTTTAATTATTACATTATTTAATTGTTTTTACACCCTCAGTCCGATGTCGGGGAAGAGGCGATGGACAACCCTCAAGAGGTGCTCAAAGAGTGCCTGGAAAAGTTCAGCACACCAGATTATATCATGGAGCCAGGGATTTTCTCCCAGCTGAAACGGTAATTATTATTGTTTAAGCTTATGTTTGTACATGAATTCTTTTTTTGTTATGAGTATTCGTTATGAGTACACACTAAGCAAATCTTGGCCTACGAAAGTCAGCCAATGTATTGGGCCGAACGTTGGTCGCCAACACATTGGTCAAAGGACGCTCCTGAATCACGAACCTTGTTCTCTGTAAAGAATACATTTTAAATTATCTAGAGCTTGGCAAATGTGTTCACTCAGTGTATACGGATTTATCAAAAACTTTTGATAGTGTAGATCGTCTTCATCCTGGTCAAAAAATTCAAAAAACTAGTTGTGGGCCAACCCCTCTTGGGTTGGGTGGACTCCTTTTTGTCTGAGAGGTTTTTTGTCTACACAGTACACTGTATCTGCACTATGAGGGGGTCTTAAGGCTAATTCAACATCAAACCTTTTGAAGTTACCGCCAGCAACCTGAACCTCAAGGTTGTCTTTCGTTGGCTGAGATTTTCGTTTTGTGTAAACGCCTTAAGATTTCTTATGAGGTTGATGATCCTGCAGTTTGATCTGCCCCTTCTCAAAATTTCGAATTGCCAGATGCATTTTGATATGTCGCCATGATTAGTGTGTTGAAAGGCCGATAACTAAATTGATGGGAAAATGCTAAAAAATATAATATATATTATATATGTATATTATATTTAATATAATATATCAATATTATAATTTTGGTCGGTCTGTTCTCAGTGTTTTTTTGTCAGAAATGTACCGGCCTTTCTCTATACTAAACCACTGCTGATGGCGGAAAAGAAATTGTAATAAAAGATAGTGAGGATGAACAGATCAAAAATAATAATTATAATTTACTAACCAACATAATAATTATAAGTTTTGGCATCATCTGGCGTACCATTTGGCAGTTATCTCTTCTTTAACTGAGAGATTTCCTCTTTTAATTTATTTTTAATTTATTTATTTATTTTTGTGCTCCTCTAAGTTCTACAGAGATACACAAGTCTGATGAATGTGTAGTTCAGTCATTTCTAGATGCATTTTGGTCTTTTGCCATCATTAGTCTAATGAAAGGCCAAACGGTGAGGATCGACAGACCAAAATGATCAGAAACAGCTACACAACAGTCATTATAAGCTTTGTCATCTCCTAGAAGGCCATTTGGCAGTTATATCTTCTTAAACTGAGACATTTCTTCTTGATGTTTTTAGTGTGATGTATCATATTGGTTGTTTTTGATTGTTATGGTCTGTCATTCTCAGTATTTTTTCAGTCAGATACATAATGGCATTTCTTCACACTAAACTACCACTGATGGCAAAAAACATATCTTTGGCCTGCTGATCCTTGTAATTTTGGTAACTGAAACAACATAGTAATTATAAGTTTTGCCACCTTCTAGAAAGTCATTTGGCAGTTATCTTTTCTTAAACAGAGATTTCCTCCTGAGGTTTTTGGAATGATTGGTCATTTTCACAAATTTTTGTATGCTCTCTCTCTCTCTCTCTCTCTCTCTCTCTCTCTCTCTCTCTCTCTCTCTCTCTCACACACACACACTCTCTCTCTCTTTCTCTCTCTCCCTACCTCATTCGATTGTTTTCAAATATTTTGGTCTGTCCATTCTGGATGTTTTGATATTTTACATTTTGGTCTCTGCCATCATCAATGATGGGTTAGTGTGGTGAAAGATCAATACATTTCTTACAGACAAAACAGCAAGGAAAGCCAGACAAATGACATTTTGCTATGATCAGAAATGACCAAGCTACTTTCATCTATTCTTAGTTTAACTAATAAGCTTTCTACTATAGCCTTCAAAATATTTACACTAAACTCTTGGTCTTTTGACAGTAGTTAATATGTGGTTAAAATCTATAAGGAAAACAAAAATAACATAATAAAACATATTTTGCAAAATGTAAGTCTGTGAGTTGAAGACATATAGCTTGACTGTTCCCTGATCTTGCTGGTTTGCTCGGACACCATCTTCAGTGGTTGGTCAGTTAGACTGGTTAAATGCCACTTATGATATCAGTGAGAATTGGAGATGATGAAGCTATAAAACAAAATTTTACCTTGGTAATATTTACTAAAAAATAAATTATACTTTCTAGGTATTTTCAAGCTGGGGGTATACCTGAACAAGTAATTGAACTTCTTTCTCATAATTACAAGGCTGTAGCTCAAATGGCCAACTTGGTTGCCGAATGGTTGATTATCGGCGGTAAGGACGTTTAGTCTTTTTTTTCTCCCATGTTCGTTGTTTTTACATTAATTTTATTCCAGGGGTAAAAGTCAATAATGTTCAAGCGATGGTAGAAAACCATCTTAAAGAGATGATCTTGAAAACGTTTGATCCAAAAAAGGCCGATACAATTTTCACAGAGGAGGGAGAAGTGAGTTATGTTCATTCATATACGAGACACTCATACGTTTAACAAGGTGAATTTCAGACTCCCGCCTGGTTAACCGAGATGATAGAGCATCCCACTTGGCGGTCGCTAATTTACAGACTCGCCGAAGAATATCCGGATTGTCTTATGCTGAATTTCACAATTAAAGTATGATCCATTATGATCCGATAAGAAACGAACAATCATTAATTTTTAATTCCGTACAGCTTATATCGGACGCAGGTTTCCAAGGCGAGATCACAAGTATATCAACAGCAGCGCAGCAAATTGAAGTATTTTCTAGGGTTTTAAAAACGGCAATTTCCGGTTTTTTGCTCACAACTGACGACTGGCAAAAAAACATTGATGAATGTGCAGTAAGTTCTCAAAATTTGACTGATACACTGATGTATATTAATTTATTTTGTTCCTTGTGCATATAGAAAATGGTCTGTCATGGTCAGCACACGTATGTATACAGTCAAGTACTTCTCCATGTGCTCTCTAGGGAAACAAAAGGTGGCTCAATAATGAAAAGGCTAGCCCAAGAAATAACAAAATGTGCCCAGCAGCAGTAAGTAACAAAAATTTATTCTGTTAACATCTTCATTATTACATTAAATTTACAGGCATGATGTGACACCGATCACAATGTCCCTTAATGGTGCGGCAAGCTTTCCTCAAGCATGCCAAGCGCTTTCTTCAATGTTGGCTAGAAACGCATTAAACCCTGCAGACATCACTGTTCTCTATCGTAACTATAATGCGCCAGATCCTCCACCTATTGATCTAATCCGAATCCCCCAGTTTTTAGGTACTTCACAAACAATATTTATATAAATTATATAATATAAAATAATTTTTATACATACTTCTACTTAACTATAGAGTTAGTAGTCGATGCTTTATTTCGGCCTGGAATGAAACTGAACCCCGAGCACAAACCGAAGTACGTTTATCTGCTTGCTTATGCCACAAGCGTCAGTGAGACTCTGCCCACTAAAAAGACAGCAGGCGCAAAAAGAACTTTGAACAAAGACGAGCTAAAAGCGACGACGCACGCAATCGACAAAGTCCACAACATTTGTTCAACAAGCAAAGGCTCTGCAGAACTAATTGCTGAGCTGTCTACAATCTACAACTGCATTAAGTAAGACCAAAACTACTTTATGTAGGGAACAACTCAAATTTTCATAAACAAATTTGTATTTTTAAATATACACTTCTATAGTTTATCCCTTTAATTCAGAAACGATTAATTTTACCAAAAAAAAAACAGTTATACAAACCCCAGTTCATTTTGGCTAGAAATCGCATGGTGTTAACTAACTTTGTTATTTTAAATGGGAATCCCATATTTTTATTGTACAATTCGAATCTAGAGCTTATTTTATGCCACTTTTGATCGAATTGACTTTTTCTGATTTATGCCTGACGGAAGATGCGTGAGGGGGTGTCATTTCCCAGCTAAATGAGAAAGTTATGTTAAATTACAATTAATTAAGGTTTTGAGTTGAGATAAAAAAGTCAATGGCTCGAACGGGATTCGAACCCACAATCTTCGGCTAGATACGCTGCTGCTCTACCACTTGAGCTATTGTGACCTCGATCCACTCGGACACCAACTTCCTATCTCAACCCCACCTTTTGAGTTTTCCCTCCTTTTTTGCCATTTTTCAAATGTCGTGTAATCGGATTGGATTCTCAGCGACAAATGAAATGGCGTATCTACCCAAAGATGGTGGGTTCGAATCCCGCTCGTGCTTTTGACTTTTTTATCTCAACTAAAAACCTTAATTAATTGTAATATATTAATTGGTCAAGCGGACCACAAAATTAGTGAAGTTATGTTAAATCCACTGCCACCAAGTGATTCCTAGACATAATAACTTCGGGTTTGTATAAGACAATTTTTTGCTAAAGTTGATAGTTTCCAAATTAAATAGGTGGACTGTAGAAGTTTATTTGCCTTGTATACCTTGTACAAAGTTTTTTGCCATATTTTTCATTTTTAAAATTAACCATTACAAGCTTAATTTTATATTAAAAAATCAGTTGAAAAGAAAAGACCAAGATCCTTTGTTAAGCTTTAAATACTTATAATTATTTACAATATTTGTTAATATTGAAAATTATTAATTAAAGCTTCAAAGTCCTGATGAAGAGAATTCCTCGAAAACTCTAAGGAACTGAGTATTTTCTTTCCCATTTTTAATATTAATTATATTAGAGATAATTTTAAGCATGTGCTGTTTTCATATTTGTTCATGTTGCAACATAATTATTAGGAGAATAATTTTTGCTAATAGGTTTCCAGTTGTCTCAATTGGAATTGTTAGATGGGTCGAGTATACTGTCATGGAGCCGTCGTATTTTAAACTGAGCACCGAACACACACCGATTCATTTAGCCCTCTTGGACGAAGTTGTCACAAATCACCCCTTGCTACACCACACAGTCCTATCCTTGTTTATAAGGCTATTTGAATCAAAACAAGACGAACTTGAAATTCTCGTGCAGGTAAAGTTCAAATTATACTAAACAGCTCGCTTGTTGAAAAAAAAAAAAAAAAAATACAAGTATGACAATAGATTAATTTTTGTATAATTTTTACATTGCCCTTTGAGCTGTAATAAATTAATGTACTTTTTTCTTTAATTTTAGCTTGAAATGAAGAAAATGTTGCTGGAAAGAATGGTCAACCTTCTGAGTCGTGGCTGTGTCGTCCCAGTTGTCAAATATATAAAACAATGTTGGCACAGGGGTGATACTGATATTTCTCTTATCCGTTATTTCGTTACAGAGGTATTCCACCAACTTCTGTACTATTTTTTATTTTTATTATGTTTTTTAGAGTTATTTTATAGTTATAATATATTTTTTATAGGTTTTGGAAGCAATCGCTCCTCCTTATACATTAGAATTTGTCCAACTTTTCCTCCCCATAGTTGAAAATGAAGAGATCACTGGGAACATGAGGAGCGACTCAGATTCAGACCCTGTCTCAGAGTTTATCGGTTAGTTTGCCTATTAAAATTGTGTAAAAACAGATGTAAATAAATAAAGAACAATTTATATAGATTTATATTCAAATTTGATTATTACAAGATGGTACATTGATAAGCCTATGAAATCTAGAAAAATAATTAAATATTTTGATTTTTTTTTCAGTCCATTGCAAAACTAACTACCCTTCAGCATGAAAATAAGGTTTCCAGGATGAGTTAAGAAAATTGAGCAATATTTAATACCAAGAGAGGCCATCATTTCATTTTTTTAACTGTGTAAGAGCCACACGAAGCTTAGCTGTGATACGTCTGCAGGCTCCTAGGGGAAAAAAAATTGATAAGAGATTGAAGAATAAAAGTAAGGACAGTTTCAGTTTCTTTGTAATAACTATGTTTAACATTAGACCTATTTGTATTATGGAATATAAGAAAATAAAAAAAATATTTTATACCCGATCGTATTTCACTTACTGTCAGTTGGCCTCCGAGCTTTCAGGGAGTGCCGGATCAAGGCCGAAGCTCATCTTGACAATGTCGACAAACATCGATAATGTGAAGCAAGAGAGGACGATGTGGTTCAAATTGTTGATGAGCTGGCTGTGCTCGCTGTTGATATGCATTCGGTACAGAACCACAGATACGGCACCTCCGATAACCTACAACCCAAAATATTTCTATTGTCTTCAATAAGTTGAAGCTCTAAAAAGCTGCACATTTCGTTAGTTTCCAAGAGTCAACATTTGTTCGTGGGTGAGAGAAAAATCAACCATTTGAAGAATTAAAATTAAAACTGATTTTATATTGTCAATTAAATTCACTAATTTCGTGGTCCACTTGACCAATTAATACATTACAATTAATTAAGGTTTTTAATTGAGATGAAAAAAAGTTAATGGCACGAGCGGGATTCGAACCCACGATCTTCGGCTAGATACGCCGCTTNAAGTGGTAGAGCAGCGGCGTATCTAGCCGAAGATCGTGGGTTCGAATCCCGCTCGTGCCATTAACTTTTTTTTCATCTCAACTAAAAACCTTAATTAATTGTAATTGTCAATTTATTTATTTTTCGTGGTATACAGCCTATCATATCTAATCATTAGTTATTATCTAGATGCTACCTGTTTACACTTTAATATTAAATATTTTTCCCTTAAGATAGTTGGTTGTTGAATAAAAAGAGGTGGTAGTCTGAAGGTGCAAGGTAGGTTCTTAATCAGCCCTGGATCCATATGTCTCAGATTCTTCATTGTCCATCCAATCCGTCATACCACCCACTTTCTACTCTTTAGTACGCATAAATTCATATTTTTTGCCTCCTTTGATTATGGATGTTTGTATAAGGGACTTATTTGAGAGGTTGAAAATAAGCTTAAACATATTTATGAAATGTTTTATACAGTTTATATTAAGCCGCTCAAGGAGGTTCCATGTGACTACTCATCCATGAAACTCACTCCTGCCCTTCTGACCTCTATCTTACTAACTACTAAGCATAAATACAGAATTTAGTCGTTCCTTCCACATCGGTATCTCCTGTGGAATTCCCTTCCTCTCTCTATTTACAAAGCTTTATCCTTTACCACATTTACATCCCTCTTCAGTTCCCTCTTGTCATTTTGGCACGAAAGATATTTAATTACCTCTTTTTGTTTTATTTCCATTATTAATTTTTGTATACCCTCATCAGGATGGAATTTTTTATAAATACATTTTGTTCATAATTTGTTATTCAAGTCCCAGAATAAAACTTATTTTTCAATTCGTTTAATATCAATGTCTGGAAGGGTGAATAGAAGCTTAGTTTCATCCATATCAGAAAATTTCTCCTTTACAAAATTTACAAAAACCTAGCTGCATATCAAAACCAAGTCAGGGCGTCCAACTCGTATTTGACGAATTAGCAGTTCTGGGTTCAAATCCAGACATAGCAGTTAAATTATTTGGAATAATTTGTAAAAAGCACTGTAATTACCCCTTGTCCGCAACACCCAACATGTAATTGATCCTCCTGTCAGGAATTACATTACGTTACATCTACAAAACCTCATAGTATACACTTATGCAGTTCTGAATTTTGAACAGATCTAAGGACTGTTAGAATGCCTTTCTCTTATTCAAAATTTTTAAAAAATCTTTATTTTCCAATAGAGCATAATTATGTAGGTCTATTTATTTTATAGGGGTTGAGCCAGTAAATCCAATATTTGTCATTAGAGATTAATTATTGTTTTCATCTTGTAAATCGCTGTACATTTAGCTTCTCTACTGACCTTATTCCCTTTTCCTAACTTATGCAAATGTCAGACAATTGTTTGATGTATAATTTGATCCTTGCCGATCATATTTGTCTATTGACCACCCTGGCCCAACACTAACGGCAAAATGCTTTGTGAGCTTGTATCGACAATTTCTCCTTCATTGCCCTGCTAAGTAGCTCCAAATATTTCAGTTTTTTCCCTATTGAAAGACCTGATAAAATAAGTGTAACTCAGTCTAGAAGTATTAAAAATATCAGTATTTTCGAAATTTTACTAAATAAAGTGTTTGGACTAGATAAAATTATAGTATGTGCCACTTATGTTATTTTCTAGGTTTTACACTGCGAAAACTCATTTTCTGCTTGAACCATCAATTAGTGTGGAGATGCATTGCATTGAACAAGGAAATTGAAATTCAATGGTATTAATTTAAATATGTGTTACATTATGTTTTATATTTTTATCACATTGTAAGAGAAATCATAATTAAAATGTATGCTTGTAAAAACATTTTCTTTTCAGATACATTCCTTTTCATAATTATCATAAATTTATGCTAGTTAAATTTAACATAACCTTTTTTTATTTAAAAAACATATAAAAGTGAATTGTAAATAAGTTATAAATTATATCATAAAAAAGTTATCAATTATAATGCTTTCAGGATTATAAAAATGTGAAGTTAGACCAAGACTAAAAACTTTATAAAATATGACAACTTAACTCAGGACATTCAATTTGAAAAACTTCAAAGCTCAATTTCTCAAAACGGTAGATACATCTTAGCAGCATTCTTCTAGTCAAATTCCAGACCAAACAAGTTTTTTGACTGCCAAATTTTCTTCTTCAAATAATAGCTCATTCAGACGTTTAAAAGAAATCGACAGGTCAATTCTTCCAGGAGAGCGTAGTGACCCTAGTCCATTTATTTGACAGATGTGTTAGAATTGGGCCATTAATTCCAATATTTGTCACGAGTGATGAATTATTGACTTGGATTCTGTAAGGTTAGCCGATAATTTGATCTTTACCAACCATCGTGGTTCGTTGGTCACCCTGACTCAATATATGAATGTGGCGAATGCCGAAACAAGTCTGACAGATCAACCCAACGAGGAGAGACAGATCTTTGGTAAGTATCAGGTTCATCTCCACAGATCACAGGAATCAGCAGTCACCATGATCACCGTGAATTGGTTGCAAGCTTGTCTCAAAACTTTACCCTTCATTCAGTGCTTTATACTACCAAAATTCCAGGCTCAACCCATTTTTTCAGCCAATTTTTTTTCTCTAATGATAAAATAATATTCAAGACATTGAGTTTACAAAGTTATACCAAGACAAGAAACTAATTCAATAAATAATTCATAAAAGTTTTAAAATGGTCATTTTTTACTCACCCATTTAATTAACAAATTAAACAATGTGCAGCATCTTAATATTTGTGTTTCTTGGAGCATTATTTAATCAATTATAAGGAAAAAAGAAATCTACATCTAATAAATGCTATTAAAACTCTTAAAGGATATTTTTTTAATGTGCATAGTGTAACATAAGCAACACACTGTCACTACTAAAAGATTTTAACATTAGATACACATACAAACACAAAATTTATTTACTGTAATTATTAGGACAAAGTGTGAACTTTGAAAAAACAAAAAACAGTAAATTGTTTAAATGACATTTATTAAAACAGTTATAGTTATTTTTTACAAGATTGTATCCAATGGTATATACAAAATATTTTAATTTACAATTTTTCACTTTTTCCAATGTTATACTGCTAAATGAAAGAAGCAACACGGTTTCAGCTCGGACAACCGGCTAACTGTCTCTGACTATGAAAAGAGCCTGGTTCGAGTGTTCCATACCAAAGCCGGATATGATAACGTTGAGTATCGATATGAGAAATACCATGATGAGAATTATGTCATTGAGGATTACCGCGGGGAGATGGTCGCTGATGTGGTTGATGTCCAGGCCACCAATGATCAAGAAGAGGATTCCCACGCACATCTGCACAACATTTTCACTTCACTACACACTTGAAATTCGACAAAATTTAATCATTAAAACTTAAATTTAAACAAAAAATTAATATGTTGTGAATAACTTAGAGATTTTTTTATATAATGTTTACAGATTTGTTTTAAAAAAAAATTATATGTGAATGTTTCAAACTATGTTTAAATATCAATAAAATTGGATGTTCCATGCAATCCATTACAGTGGCAGAGATTTAGAATATATTTTTAACTTTGTTTAACCCAGATATATTTTTGTAAGTTTTTCTTTTTAATTTGTCACTGTGTCAAAGTCATATTTGTGCACTATTTGCATTCACAATGTAAAGCATTCTTGTCTCTCTAAATTGTACTTAATTTTTTAATCCCGAGTTTGACATGTTTATGACATACTTACAACTTAATTTATGGATATTAGAGTACAACGATCATAATTTTACAGGTAGACATGTTATCGTTTCTTTAATAAAATCAATTATGTTTAACAAATAAAACTATTAAAATTATTAAATAATTTCAACATATTCAATTTATGTTTTATATAATTGAATGCTGACAACGTTATTGCTGATCGTCACAAAAAAAGTGTACATATCAAATTCTTGAGAAAAAAACTATTATTTATTGTAAGAAAATACGTAAAACTTTTCTTTTTCTTAGTAATAAAGTACAATACTGATTTTTCCAATTATTAGAATTTTAACATTTTAATTTAATTTGGTTCTGAGACAATAACTATTATGAAACAGGCTTTTTACTGTCTAAAACTTTCTCAATTTTTGTTAATAAATATTATAGAACAGTAAGTAAAAATAGTATAATCACATCTTACATTTAAAAACAAATTTGGCTACAATAATCGTGCATTAATACAACACACACATTTCACGTTCTAAATTCTAAAGTTACGACCAGTTTTATATTTCTTAGATACATTATTGACAAATTAAGCAGTGTTTTAAAACTAGTTATAACTGTTATTATTGTGTTTGTATGAAGAAAAAGAAAAGGAACAGACTGTTTATTAAATGAAAAATCAAATGACGCTGAGCACTATGAGCTTGTAAAAAAATCATTTATTCAGCTAAATGAAGTCAAGGTGAAATCATATTGATAAGATTCTTGATCAGGCAAACATTGACCGAAGGAAAAAAATGTTTGCACTTTTAATTTGTGATTCATGTATGTGTGTTTTGTCCAATGCTTATACGTCAAGATTGCGTTTAAAAACTAACACATTAATACATACATTGGTTTTTCTATTTCTTAACGAGTTCAGTATTCACAGGCACGAGCCGTCCCAGGCTGGGATCAAAGGCGGATATAAGTAGGTTCAGCGCCGTGACCACGAAAGATCCGGCTAGGGCCAGGTGGTTGATGACCATTGCTGAATACTTGTACTCGATCAAGTGGAGCCGACAATCCCTCATCAGATTCAGTGACAGAAAGAGGACTCCCATACCGACCTGGTAAAGATTAACAACTTACCCAAACAATACAAAAATTGGCCATCTGACACAACAACCCATTATTTAAATTTAATACATTTTACTTTTATTAATGAAAAATCTTATTTATTTGAAACAAAAATTGTCTATCAAACAAAATAATTATCTTTGTGATCATGAAAACTATATTTTAAACTGTGTATTTATTTGCACAATCCTTATTGAAGAAAAAATAAATAATAGCAGCAGTTCAATGGTTTATCTGTTGTTCAGAATATTTATCAACTCTTGATTACCATCTAACTAATTGCTGTCCAATTGCCAAAATCATCATTTTACAGACACTGATTAACTAATAATAAATATTTTTAAAACCGGTGTAATGAATCTTTTAGTCAAAATGTCTGACATTGAATATTTTTTATCATTATTATTTCTCCGTACAAATTATGGTTATTTTGATTTATTTTTCATGAGTTGAGAAATTATATGTTGAAAAATAAAATTTTTAATACCCATTGAGTCACAAAGTTATGATTATGCCACCCTTATCTACAATATATGCCTTTTTGAACTTTTCCTATTTCTTCAAACCAAATTCTTTCTATTCTAAATCAATTTAAGGTTTTTTTTATTGACATTTTCACTGAAATAAAAAAAAATATTTAAACAATAATAATATTCAAAATTTTATTTACATATATAAATATGCTTAATACACTTTTTAGATTTAAAATTTATAGTTAAATCATAAATAAATTAAAATTAACTATTTCAAAAATATGTGTTAAAAAAACATCTCACATATATATAAAATTAAAAAAGCTATAATCTTTTCTCCGCCAAAATACAAATAAAAAATTGTTACTTTTAAATTTATCTAAAATTGTAAATATATGAATTAATATAAATTGTGCCTACCAGCAAATCCACAGCCCATCAGATTGTTTCAATTCCTTTTTGAAAAAGTTCAATTCTATTTAAAAGAAATTCAATTTAGTTTGATAAAAGTTTAAAAAATAAATTTGTGTTTGAAAAAAGTTCATTTGGTAAAAGTTCACTTTGGGTTGGAAAAATTGGATTTGATGTGGAATCAGTTCAATTTGATTTGGTGAAAGTCCAGTTTGGTTTGGAACAATTAGTATTTGCTTGGTAAAAGTCAAATTTGGGTTGGAAAAATGAAATTTAATTTGGAAAAAATTCCATTTTTGTTGGAAAAATTGAATTCATTGAAAAAAGTTCAATTTTGGTTGGAAAATGCAATTTAAACAGGAAAAAGTTAAATTTGGGTTAGAAAAGATTGAATTTGATATGGTGAAACTTCAATTTGATTTGGTACAAGTTCAATTTGGATTGGAATCTTTCATCTTCTTTCATAGATTTATTTTCATTTGGGAAAAATTAAATTTGGGTTGGCAAAATAATTGTAAGTTGGGAAAAGTTCAATTTGAGTTGGAACAAATAAATTTTGATTTGGGCCATGTTCAATTTGATTTGGATAAATAGAGTCATTTGGAAAAAGTGTAATTTGGGTTGGAAAAATAGATTTATATTTGGGAAAAATTCAATTTGGGTTGGGAAAATACATTTTGATTTTTTGAAACATTTTAATTTGTGTTGTAAATATAGATTTTGACCTAGGAAAAGTTCAATTTGGGTAGGAAAAATAGAATTTAAAATTGACAGAAAAATTTAGATTAGAAAAATATATTCATTTGGGAAAAGCTAAATTTGGGTTGGGAAAGGTTTAATTTGTTTTGGTACAAATAGATTTTGAATTGTATAAAGTTCAATTTGGGTTGGAAAAATATAATTTGATTTGGTAAAGTTCAATTTGGGTTGGAACAATAGAATTTGACCTGGAATGAAAGTTTGATATGGGAAAAGTTCAATCTGGATTGGGGGAAATTTGTTTTGGGAAAAATTCAATTTGGGTTGGAGACAGATTTTGAATTGTATAAAGTTCAATTTGGGTTGGAAAAATAAATTTTGTATTGGGAAAAGTTCAAATTGGGTTGGACAAAAAAAAGTTTTGAATTGGGAAAAGTTCAATTTGGGTGGGAAAAATAGATTTTATATTGGGAAAAGTTAAATTTTGGTTGGACAAATAGATTTTGTATTGGGAAAAGTTCAATTTGGGTTGGACAAAAAAAAGTTCTGAATTGGGAAAAGGTAAATTTTGGTTGGAAAAATAAATTTTGTATTGAGAAAAGTTCAATTTGGCGTGGACAAAAAAAACGTTTTGAATTGGAAAAAGATCAATTTTGGTTGGAAAAATAGATTTTGTATTGGGAAAAGTTCAATTTGGGTTGGAAAAGTAGATTTTGTATTGAGAAATGTTCAATTTGGGTTGGACAAAAAAAGTTCTGAATTGGGAAAAGGTAAATTTTGGTTGGAAAAATAAATTTTGTATTGAGAAAAGTAAAATTTGGCTTGGACAAAAAAAGTTTTGAATTGGAAAAAGATCAATTTTGGTTGGAAAAATAGATTTTGTATTGGGAAAAGTTCAATTTGGGTTGGAAAAGTAGATTTTGTATTGAGAAATGTTCAATTTGGGTTGGACAAAAAAAGTTCTGAATTGGGAAAAGGTAAATTTTGGTTGGAAAAATAAATTTTGTATTGAGAAAAGTAAAATTTGGCTTGGACAAAAAAAGTTTTGAATTGGAAAAAGACTAATTTTGGTTGGAAAAATAGATTTTGTATTGGGAAAAGTTCAATTTGGGTTGGAAAAGTAGATTTTGTATTGGGAAAAGTTCAATTTGGGTTGGACAAAAAACAGTTTTGAATTGGGAAAAGGTAAATTTTGGTTGGAAAAATAGATTTTCTTTTGGGAAAAGTTCAATTTGGGTTGGAAAAACAGATTCTGTATTGGGAAAAGTTAAATTTTGGTTGGACAAATAGATTTTGTATTGGGAAAAGTTCAATTTGGGTTGGTTTCATAACTGGATGCAATTTAGTCAACGGTTTAACGACATAGACCATAGAAGATTAGCCAAATCTGTCCAATTCGATTGTCATCATGACATCAAGTATAATGCGAGAGAAGAAAAAAATAACACGAAAATATCGCATTATGAGATGTTTTGATTGCATCGATCCGTTTGGCGTGCTTATGAAACATTGAACGCGTTTGACCATCATATTTAGTTGAAACTTTGACATTTGGACAGTTATAATAATCAATAATATCGACCCTGCCATAAATTAACCACCTCCGGTATGAGTACTATTTGAAAAAGACGACAAAGTCCAGCTAAAGATGATCGTTGTTTTTTTTGTTTTTTTAAATTAAGACTTATGTAAAGAGTTATAGATAGTTGAGAAATTTTAAGATTTTGGTAATTCTTTGTATTTTAAATAGACGAAACTAGTCTGACGAACAACAAAAAGTGATAAAAGGTGGAACCAAAGGGGTCGTTATCACCCAAGCAGAATATGGTCTTTGTTATAGAATAATATTAGATTATTGACTGCTAAGGTGATTAATAGTTTTCAACACAAAGCCTTTTTCATCCACCGTTAATTAGACTTGGACAAATCTCGGCGATATTGTCGTCGAGGGTTGAGTGAACTCCAAGCAATCGGATCATTACTGATTCTCGTCCATCAGGCCTTTTACACCCGGAAGATAATTTACACTGATGATGCCGTGGGAGTTAAACGTGCAGGTGTACGTTTTAAATTTAACCGAGACATCTCTGAAATATAATTCCTGCATCTCTAGATTTTTGAAACAGCCAAAATTGACTGTAAATTTTAATAGTCCATATAAACAAGGATAAATTAAAGGTTTTTGAATTGAATCTGAATTTCTCGATTTTTCCTCGATGCGCCACGAGGAATGGACAAATAACAATTAATTAACTATTATCTATATATGCAAGTCGAGATAAAACCCACTGAAGAGTATAAACAGAGCAGATATTATCGCGGAAACACGGGGTTAAAAAAGTAAAGAACATCTACAAAGGTCGGACTTGATAAATATTAGACGTTTTTCTATCGATAACATTCACCCGTTCAAAGATGGGATTAAACAGACCATTTAAAGCTGTATTCAAATCACCGTACTGAATTACAGTTTTGGCAACAAAGAATTAAATTACGAGGAAAACTGTCCCCGAGAAAGAAAAAAAAAACAATCGCCAAATTTAAAGAAAGAAGGCAGCCTCGAGTTGGAAAATTTAGGAAAATTATGATTGTACTGTTCTAAAAGAAGTCCAGGATACCTAGATAAACTTCTGGGACAACAAATGTTTTTATTTAAAGGAACAAATATGGCTTCAATCCTCCTTACTTGAACATATCTTAGAAATAAGTTCTGTTTTGTAAACAGTAAAATAATAATAATAAAACATAAATAAAATATTTAAAACAAGAATAACCGTAATATATTCTTTAAAATATTAAACATTATAATCGAATAATGAAACGTTAAGAAAGAAAAAGAGAACTAGAAAGAAAAAAGGAAACGAGGAAAGAAAAGGAAGAAGGAAGAAAAGGAGACGATTCTTGACGTTTTAAGAACTCAGATGCCATGGAACTGAAACTAGCCAAAGAAAAAAACGTACTTCCCAGGGAAGCAAATTCCATAGACACTGCAATTTTGAAAGATAAGGCTAAAGGAGTTCGAAGTCCCAAGCTTTGAGAATTTATTTGATTAAATTTTATGTACATTAAAACTCTAGATTTATAAGTGCTTAGCTCGCTGAAGGCGTTAATATAGGAAGAAATATGTTCTCTTGGTTTAAGATCATGACTGTATCTAATGCAGGAATGATAAGCAATTTGAAAGCGATGAGCAGATTGAGAGTCTAAGGAAAGTGAAAGAGAAATTGTTTATTTAAAAAAAAAATATTGATAGCCTATACATAACGGTACATTTTACAAATGTGATGAGACTATGTTTCTTTTACACGGTCACAGCACTAATACTAACGCCAGTGCTGCATCCTGATGACACTTGCCATGAGACTCCATCCAGTGTGAAGGATTATGGAGCAAGGAGGTCTCTAGGC